GAGGCGAGACTAAGTAATTTCTGAATTTTTTTAGGAATATGTTTGAAATATTATCCCAACCTGCTGCACAGTTATCTTTAAGATTCAGAATTAAACTACTAACTTCAGCAATGTCAGTCTCTAATAAAACAAAAGAATTAATGGAGCCGGAAGCAGGACCCTTAGAAGCGCTAGAAAAATTATGGTTTGGATTTTTCGCTATTGTATCTGCTAAAGTTACACCAACACTAATAAAATACTCATTTATTTTATTGACGGACTTATACGGACAAGACTCATTCTTCAATAAATTCAATAAAGATTTTTTTTTGTTTTAGCTGTATGTGTTATATTTTTAATTATATGCCATATTTTTTTATTGTTATTTCCAGCTTCTTTTATTTGATCCTTTTCATAAGCTCTTTTTACCTTTTTTAGCAATGTGTTACAAAAATTTCTATAGCGAGTATATGTAATTTTAATTATTTCATTATTTGGATATTTTCTTACTTTATAATGCAGTTTGTCTCTATTTTTCATGCAGCGTAAAAGACCTGGTGTGATCCAAGGCTTTATAATTTTCTTACGTCTTGCTAAAGAAACAGTTTGAGAATTTTTATTTAGAGTGGATATCATTGTTTCCAGGAAATAGGTTAGAGCAAAATCAGGATCAAGTGATTCATAAACAGGAGAAAAATCCATATTCGAGATATCTATTTCAAGTTGATTATAATTTATCTTTGTTATTGTGTGATTTGAGTAACTACGAACTTGTTTCTTATGTAAACATAACATAACCGATTTATGATCAGTAAGATTCGACTGCATTACTAACGCGGTTATTGGATATTTTGTTTTTATAAGAGCATGATCAATACAAGTACCACTAGATTCGCGAGTAATGAAAGTATGCGCAGGTAACAATGAATGGTAAGCAGCAAGATTTAGGTATTGATCAGAAAATTTATGAGGTTTATCATCATTAATAGATATATTCATGTCTCCCATTAGAATAATATTGCTGAAGCCCTTTACTGTTTGCAAATTGTCATTCAAGGAACTCAAAAAGTGATCTAAGCAAGAGTATGAGGGAGAACGGTAAACCGCTAGGATGGCGGTGTCAATGCCAATTTTTATAAGAAGCGAGTTTGCATCAACAAATGGAGGCTCTTCAACAGTAGACATTAGATCATTTTTAATATAAACTACCACTCCATCATTTTGAATGGGATTATGTTTAGTTGAAAATACACGATAACCTGCCAAAGATGGTATAACAACCGTACACGATAGCCAACACTCTGTCAAGATAAGAATATCCATATTAACTTTTAATCTTGCAAGTAGAACTTCAAAACCAGTAATGTTTAAGTTAATGCTGCGGATGTTTTGTGTAAGGATTGAGAGGGAAGTTTGTGCAGCTGGTAAACATCTACTGCAGTCCTCCAAATCACACTCAAAAGCATTTGTGACAAATAATTTGTCCAGATCATCAGATATATCTTTTAAATTATTGAAAACGAGGCAAAATTATCTGTATACGTCAACAGAATTACTCCGTGTAAGAATAGAAATTTTGTGACAGTAAAATAAGTAACACATTTTTTTAAGAAATAAAAATATACAAGGTATTCATAACTAAAAGTAATAAAGGGTAATCGTGTGAAAGTGTGCTTAGTGTACAAAAAATTGAGATTAAAAAGTAAAAAAATAAAATTATAAGGAGAAAATACAATGAAAGTTAAACTTACAGCTACTAGTCATTGAGTTATTTTAAATTTTTCAAGATCTGTTTCACTTTCTACTTTCACCAAAGGAGAGTTTACGTTTTTACGAAGATAAACCACACCACGCGATGTCCAACAAAAAGCAAACATGTGTTCCTTTTGAAACGCTCGAGCCAAGAAGAACATTCTCTGTGCCTTTGGTGTCAACGTTTCAGCAACGAATACAGGCTTAATAGGTGTATCTATGTTAAAATGTCCAGTGTTTAATTTTTCGCCTTTCTCTTTATTCTTATTAAATAATTTCACTGCCTTGAGAACCTTTTCTTTCATAATTACAGAAGTGAATTCCGTGATAATGGGTTTTGATGAATCCTTAGCAGTTATTCTATATATGTCCTTAATATCTGAGTCTTTGATGTCAATGCACAAAGATTTTCCCATTTGTTTAACTAGGTTACCGAGGTCATCTTTAGATTCGGCCTTCCCTGTATTTTTATTTGGAATATTACGTATTTCAATACCAGCTGCCCGATTTTTGCGTTCCAACATGTCAATTTTTTCCTCCAAAAGGTTAATGTACTTTTTATCTTTCTTTCTTTCGGCCTCTAGGTTTTCAATTCTAGTTAAAAACTCGTCATATTTACTTGACATCACTTCAACAGATTTTGAAAGCTCGGCATTTTGATCTTTTATGCAATTCACAGAGATATGAAGATCATGGAAACGCTTATTTTGTTCTTTTAAAAGCGAGTCAAACATTTGCTTTAACGTGGACATAACTGTGTTATCATCTTCATCACGCTTTCTTTTCTTTCTCTCTGCAGCATTCTGTGGTAGGCGCAGGTCAGGCTCGGAATCATAGTGTAGCATCGTATCCAATACTCTTAATTCCGAGCTACTATGAAATAAAGATCTTTCTGCATCATCATTAGTCTGCTTATCCACAGTTTCTGACTTTTCGCGGGACAGATGCAAGTGCGGTGGAGTACGTTTAAGCGGCATATTTATTACCTTTGACAAAGTACTAGGACAACAGAAATACGTACTTACTTGAATTAAGACGACAGATCAATATCACGTTCAGAGGTCTTACTTTTTTGACGACGATCGACGATTCAGTACAAATACTATGGTCACCACTTTATGTTGACCCCTCGCAACTGTACTCCGTTTATAGTACTAGTATTCCTTCGTGTATATTATGTTTCACCAACAGCAGCGAAACAAATTAATCTCTTGCTAGTGCTGTTTTCCTATTATTTACTTTAAATTATTGTTTAATTTATTTGTAATTTTAATAAAGAAAAGGATTACAAAAACACGTCTATTCGTCACAAAAGTCCGGGGGGAAGGGGAGGGAGGATCCTAATAAACCAAGATCCTCCTCCTTGATGAGACCTCTTAGACAATTTTGGACAAAATTGTTCTATTTCATAGTCATCAAAACCAACTACCTTAGTCAATATTGTAACGCCTGATATGATTTGCATTTTCATTATAAGACTTACCAGTAAAAAGACTCTAGTTACGTTGGTCATTAAGTATAGTGTCAAATCGAAGGTGTGACGGGTACGCCATTAATCTCCTGTTACTATCCAGTTCACCAGCGATAAATTATGACGATCAAGTATTCTTTTACCCTTTTTAAGAACTAAGTAAAATCCTGCTGTTAGTAATATTTTCAGTTTATCGTATCTAAACGTACGATATATAGGCTTGCTGCCTTTTTAACCTAAGGCGTTAAAGACAACAATTGCCAAAATTGTCAAGGCTTCTAATAGGTAGCAGTAAAATCATCCCGTTTACACCAAATGTAAATTTCTAGACTGGCAACGTGAACCCGCGTGAAAGCTGCGAGATGTCTGGCACTGCGATCGCCAATCCACTTACTTAACGTGGCGATTATTTAGTTCACGTGTGGACTTTTAAAGATAAAGTGATACTTCTTAGTGTGGAACTTAAGAATATAACTACATTTTAATCAACTGCCAACCTCAACTACACGTGTATACTTACTTACTATATATTTTGTTAGTAGGTAATCTTAAAAAATCCAATTGAATCACGGAATCACGAGTGCGATCACATGATCTCAATTAGGTGTTACTTACCATCTCGTTATATTATAAAATTATCATAAACATACCACATTTAAAAATAACTAAAGCAATCGACAATCGATGGGTAAATTAATATTTTGTCGGGAGGGGGAGCGGGGTCCAGTTCCAGACAAATGTTAAAGTATCGGATAAAAAGTCACGTCAAAAAGTCTAAAAGGAACACACATTACTTATTGATTAATTTAATAAACATGTTATATATGAAATACGATATATTATATATAATATATAATGAATTTAAACGTTGACATTTCGACACTTGCGCACGAACAGAATGCATCGGGCGAACTACCTATTTTTGGTGCAAGCGGTAAGGGTTGGCCGGTGGAAAAAAAACTCCCCCTTCAGATCGGAAGCGCCACAAACAGGCATTTTTGGCGTTTTATTTACGGATTATATAACATTTTCGGGGTGGGAGGGGTCTGGATCCCTTGGACTCCCCTCTGTGTACGTCCTTCCTCGTACTGATAAGCAAAGTGTGTAGGTCGGTCATCTACAAGATATAATGATTACCTGGCAAGAGATGAAGGAAGTCGATGGATGCAGGTGGCTCAAGACTGTGCCACAAAGCACTCTTTGAGGGAGGCATGTGCTCATCAGCGGACTTCTAATGGGCTTTCATTATGACGATGACAGTATTTTAATATAAAATGGTAAATAAAATATATTTTTGTAAGTTAATAAAATCAGACCTTTTGCAGACAATCTATTTTCTAAGCATGACAATAATTAAATAACATATTTTGATGTTTTTATTATTTAAAAACACTTTTGTATTATTATAAAAACTAAAATTATTTACAGCAATAACAACCATTTATTTGTTTATATTATCATAATAACATTTTTAACATTTTAATAGCGATTTTTTATCTTTGTTTTAATAAATCGAAGTTCTCAAGCAACATCGCTGCCGGACGTACTGCATTGCATTTATTAACCAACATTTTTATTAACCAGCTTGGTCGACTGGCTTCCCAAGAATTAATAAAAATTAAAATGGCCTTTTTAATAGTTTTAATACTGCGTTTATTTTTATTTCACTTATAAAAATACAAAATTTGGCTCCTTAAACAAATACAAAAATGGAACTTAACAATAAATAATAAAAGTTTTTCCTTTATCTATGTCAATTCCATTATATCTCAAAGGTATTAAATAAATGTCTTGTCATTTATAGGAATGGTCCCCAGCCGATATACATTTGACAAAGGTTATGAATACTGGTTGCCTCGACGATAAGGTGTTCAACTTGACCCTCCGGGGATAAAGACAGGGATAATTGTTTATTCTTTGTTTTTACCTAAAAAAGAAGCGTATTGAGAATTTGTTATACGAAGAATATATTAAACTCCAATAGTTCTATGAATTTAAATATCATTAATTGAATCATATAGGTACATTCAGTCAAAAAAGTATCGGGAATCGACGATTTCTTTATAGTTCCAAATATTTTTTTTTGTTTTTTTTTTGTTGTTGTTAGATTGGCACAACTGTTTTCCATTTTGGTGCAGAGTTTGAGTTACATCTGTTATTTAGAATAAATACAGTACTGTTTTTAGTTATATCACATCTAGTGGGTATTGCGAATTCCACAATGGACAAAAACATCGAACAAAGAGTTTGTCTTAAATTTTGCATCGCCAATAGAATATCATGTTCGGAGTCACTGAAAATGTTACAGAAGGCTTACGGTGAATCGACTTCATCAAAAACACGTGCTTATGAGTGGTACAAAGCGTTCAAAAGCGGTCACGATGTGATGGAAGATTTGCCTTGCTCTGATAGGCCATCAACGTCTGCAAGTGAAGTTGACATCGCAAAAGTGAAGGAAATAGTGACTGAAAATCCTCATTCAAGTTTCAGAGAGCCGCCGAACTTTCTGTGTCTCACGAGTCGATCCCTACCATTTTAAATAATCACTTGGGTATGAAACATGTTGCCGCTCGGCTAGTCCCAAAAGATCTGAATTTTATCTAAAAACTCAATCGCATAAGAGTCGTTGAGGACATGCTAGAACGAGTCAATTCCGACCCAACATTCATGAAACGCATTGTTACTGGTGACGAGACGTGGGTTTACGAGTTTGGCATGCAAACTAGTCGACAGAGTGACGCCTTCCAACTGATCCGAAACCGAAAAAACTACGCCAAAGTCGATCAAAAGTCAGTCATGTTGACTGTTTTCTTTGACTATCACTATCACGGTGTTGTGTTGTGTGGGACGTCAAACACCTCAGTCCCCCCCCCCCCCGTGACCATGGGTGCTGTAAAGCACCCGAAACGTCGGGAATTAAAAAGTTAAATTAAACGCGATAAAATCCGTAAAAATTAGTTTCACTCATATTACCACTTCGTGGTACCCGTTTTCATTTGGTAGAAGACATAAAGGAGAATTCGTAGCGAGAACTGAACTCAATTCCAGAAAATGCGTTTAAAAAATGTTTTGATGATTGGATTATTCGTTGTAGAAAGTGTATCGTTTCTGAAGGAGCATACTTTGAAGGTGATAAAATGAACTTGGATGCATAACTAACATTTTGTGTATTATTGATCTTTTCCCGATAGTTTCTTGACAGAGTAGTAAATATTCTTATAACAAGGATTTTATGTAAATCTTCGTCGCCTCTTAAATAGTTTACTAAAATAACGACGAGGTACAGCGCTGTAAAGGTGCGTACTGACCGTGCCGTTGAGGCGCTCTAATATGTGACACAGGTGCTGCAGTGCTTCCGCGTCGTTATACAGAACATCGTGTCGAACGAGGTACAGCCCTGTAAAGGTGCGTACTGACCATGCCGTTGAGACGCTGTAATATGTGACACAGGTGCTGCAGTGCTTCCGCGTCGTTTTACAGAACATCGTGTCGAACGAGGTACAGCGCTGTAAAGGTGCATACTGACCATGGCGTTGAGACGCTGTAATACGTGACACAGGTGCTGCAGTGCTTCCGCGTCGTTTTACAGAACATCGTGTCGAACGAGGTACAGCGCTGTAAAGGTGCATACTGACCATGGCGTTGAGACGCTGTAATACGTGACACAGGTGCTGCAGTGCTTCCGCGTCGTTATACAGAACATAGTGTCGAACGAGGTACAGCCCTGTAAAGGTGCGTACTGACCATGCCGTTGAGACGCTGTAATACGTGACACAGGTGCTGCAGTGCTTCCGCGTCGTTTTACAGAACATCGTGTCGAACGAGGTACAGCGCTGTAAAGGTGCATACTGACCATGGCGTTGAGACGCTGTAATACGTGACACAGGTGCTGCAGTGCTTCCGCGTCGTTATACAGAACATAGTGTTTGACGAGGTACAGTACTGTAAAGGTGCGTACTGACCATGCCGTTGAGGCGCTGTCGTATGTGACGCAGGTGCTGGAGTGCTTCCGCATTGGTGCGCTCGGCGCAGTCTGGCGCCCGACCACGACCCCAGGACACAAGCGGGTCGTACACGAACGGACCCACCACCGACATTAAAGCCGCAGTTTGAGCACATAACGCTCGCATGACCGCCTCGCAGCATTTCCTACAACAAAGATTTGTATTGTAACACCAGCCGTGATAATCCAAGGGATAAGCGTCCGCCTTAAAATTTCATGGTACGCCAGCAGTTTCATACCCACAGGCGCTGTAGAGCAGTAGTTAAGCGTTTGGCTTCGGCACGGCGGTGCCTACAGTTACAATTCTTCAAAGAACAAGTCGCATCTTTGCGAACAAAGCGTCACTTCTGCAATTTTTTGCAAAAACGACTTAAATATGCAGATTTAACCGCGATAATCGACTTTATATACACAGTATAAACGGTGACAATCGCTTGAATAACATTGTTTTGAGGAAGGGAGGTACTTTACATTATTTTGAGTTATTGGTCCGTTTGCTTCAAACGTAACGTCTCATCTTGTCAGAAGTGTTTTCACAGCCGTCTTACGCATTTGTGACGGAGGTACTACTACTAGTAATGACTTATTTGTTTACATAATTTTTGCAATATTAATGTTTTTTCTGGATAAGAATCACATTTTGTTACCAAATCTTGGTATGTTTGTTGTAAACATAACGTCACTTCTCTTTATAAATGATATTATAGCATAAAACTTTTCTTTTCATATATAAACATAAACATAAACACTCACGCCTGTCACCCAGAGGGGTAGGCAGAGATTATGGACTTCCATTTGGCACGATCCTGACACACCTCTCTCGCTTCCTCCACATCCATATACCTACGCATACACGCTCGTCGGTTAAAGGTGCTCTTGATTTGGCCCATTTTTAATATATCGCCAATTTGGTCGATAAACTTTCGCCTAGGGCGACCCTTCCCGACTATGCCGTTCACCTCTGCAACATAAATTTGCTTTGTCACTCTTTCCTCATTCATTCTTTCTACATGGCCAAACCACCGAAGCATTCCTTTCTTAATCCTGGTCACAACATCATCTTGCAAACCACACTCTTCTCTTATTAAACAATTTCTCACTCTGTCATTCAGCTTCATCCCTAACATACTCCTTAATGACCGCATTTCTACAGCATTTATTCTACTCTCATGCTTCTTCTGCCACACCCAACTTTCACTACCATACATTAAAGTAGGTACTAACACAGCATTGTGAATTGCCATACGTGCCTTTTTGGACACATTCTGACTTTTCACAATATAGTGTAGAGCCCCATTCACTCTATTTCCTGCATTCACTCGTCGTTCTATATCCTTGTCATATCTACCATCCCTGCTAAACACACATCCCAAATATACAAACTCATCTACTTGCTCTACCAACTCCCCTTCTATTCTTATTTCACATATCGTTTTACTTTCTTCTCTTTCAAAAACCATAACTTTCGTCTTACTTGCGTTCACTTTCATTCCCTTTTCTTTTAATGTCCTGTTCATTAATGTAACCATCATTTACAACTCGGCTGCCGACGACGCAAGTATGACTTGATCATCGGCGTACAAAAGGCATTTGACGGTTAACTCACCCATTCTTAACCCGCATTCTTCTACTTTCAAATTTTCCAAACAACTGTCCATAAATAGGTTGAACAACCACGGGGAAGCCACACAGCCCTGTCTGACACCTTTATGGATGTCAAACCAGTCCGAGTAGGCCCCGTTGATCCTGACACAAGCACTAGAGTCCCTATACGTCCCGAGACTTCAATGCCTGTATCAGACCAGCGCTCAACCCAAATGAGTTCAGTGTTTGCCATAACACATCCGTGTCCACTCTGTCATAAGCCTTCTCCAAGTCAATGAACGCACAAAAAACTTTTTGGTTTTTGGCCAAAAACTTCTCGGCGATCATGCGCATGGAAAAGACCTGATCCGTACATCCCGTTCCCTTTCTAAATCCCGCTTGCACACTTTTCTTTTCATTGGAACCAAACCGTTACTTCTATTAACAAGTGATATTATTTTTGTAATGATTAGTATTTACATTATGACGGAACGTTATTTTTGTATAGAAGTGTTTTTATTGGATTAATTTGTTGTTTTTACAGGGTGGGCCATCTAAAGTTTGGGATTGGAACTACAGGTTATTTTGAGGTTGGAAGGTTTGACAGAAAGTTAGTTTTATGTTTGACATTTATGAAATGGGTCGCTTTTCGCTTGAACAAAGTTGGGAAATATTAAAAATTTATTTCCAACGTGGTGAGTGAGTCGTCTACTTTGACAAAAAGACGTGCCAAAAAGCAGTTTGTGGATCAATTTGTGAAGCGAGTTCGTGAAAGTGGATCGTAGTTGGATAAAACAACCTATGTACGTACTCGTTCAGTGCGCTTAACTGAAAACATCGCTGCTGTTGTTCAGTGTGCGTGAACAACCATCAACATCAACTCGTCATCGTTCTCAAAAATTGAACATTTCACGCACTTTTTTGAGAAGAATTTTGCATAAAGATCTCGGTATGAATGCATACAAAGTTCAATTAATGCAAGAGCTGAAGCCGCATGACCATCCGATTCGTTTTCGGTTTGCTCTATGGACCGAAGACCGCTTGATCGAAGATAAGCATTTTTATCGAAAAATCATCTTTTCAGATGAAGCTCATTTCCACCTCGGAGAAAACGTCAATAAGTAAAATTGTCATTTCTGGAGCTCAGAAAATCCACACGCCATCGCGGAGAAACCAATTCATCCACAACGAGTGACTGTCTGGTGTGGATTTTGGTCTTATTTGACCGATTGTTCTTCTTTTTCTGCTTGTTTTAGTTTGTTTTGGTTTTCAATCAAATACAACTCTACCAAAAATAAACATACCCATCCTTAAACATAAAAAAATACGAACTTTTATGATTTTATTATTTTTTTAAAAAAGGTCACTTCTGCAATATCACTTTTGGTAGCCTTCCATCAGTTTATGGCTTGTTTTTCAGAAACCTCTTGTTGTTTTTTTTAAATAGTCGCGATTGTCCGTGAAGAAGTAATTAATTTAAGACACAAACAAATTAAAACGCTCCTCCTGTAAAGTTGGAAAACATGCAGAAGTGACCCTTTGTTCCCAAAGGTGCGTTAGTGTTTGTATTTCCTACAAACAATTATTCCTGCTCTGGTTGTTTGTCGATGTGCAATTTAAGTATGTTAATAATAACGTTATTTTAAACAAGATAGAACCGCGGCACCGTTGAAAAAACCGTGAGGACACTTTTTTTTATAGTATAAAGTCGGGGAAGAAGTTTCTTCGTATTTTATATACAAATTCAAGACATTCTTTTTTTTTTCAAAGTTTAATCACATTTAATTATAATATATATGTGCCATTTTGTTCGATAACTTATTGCCATCTTGTAGGTAGTGACATAATCTCGTTGCTGTAGAGATCTTGAGATTTTTTATCAAAAAAAAATGCGACAAGTACTTTTGGTAGTCATCTCTTGATGTTAACCTAACACTACCCAAAGAATTATGAAGAGACCGAAACAGGTGAAAATCTGAAGGTGCAAGGTCAGGACTATATGGTAAATGCATTAACACTTCCCAACCAAGCTCTCTCAATTTTTCCTGAGTGGGCAAAGATGTGTGTGGTCTGGCGTTATCATGATGAAAGACCACTCACTCCTTTTCTGTTGATAAATTCCCGCCGTTTTTGCTCAATTTCTTGCTTGAGTCTCATTATTGTTGGCAGTCTACTGCTGATCCGAATCGATGGTTTAGCCTAGTGGTAAAAGCTCATAATAAACGATGCCCTTCCAATCCCATCATACACACAGCATCACCTTATTGCGTTTTAATCCGGGTTTCGCTAGTCTGTGGACCTTGACTACCTTTGACCATGATCTTTTCCGCACGGTCTTGTCGTAGGTGATCCACTTTTCATCACCAGTGATCAATCTTTTCAAAAATGTTTCGGTTTCATTACGTTTCAATAGAGAATCGCAAATAAGTACACGATTCATTAGGTTTCTTTCAGTGAGCTAGTGTGGTACCCAAATATCGAGCTTTTTTGTTTAGCCAGACTTTTTCAAATGGGTCAAAACTGTTTTGTGGTCAATTCTCAATTCCTCGGCTAAGTTGTAACTACTAATATGCCGATCTTGCTCTACTTTTTAAAAAACGACATCGACATTATCCGTATGAAGGCGACCAGAACGAGCTGCATCCTTGACATCAAAATTCCCGGACTGAAAACGCTTGAATCAACTACGCTCACTGACACTGCATTAGGTCCATAAATATCACTTTTTTTTTCGCGGCTTGACTCGCATTTTTCCCTTTTTTGTAATAAAACTTCAGAATGTATTGAATTTCTTCGTTAGATTTACTCATTTTGGCGGACAGAAAAACAATTATAAAATGGCTGAAAGTGTTTTTTATTTTTATTTTCTTTTTATTAATGTCCTATATGTATTGGTATTAAAACCAGTCAGATAGAAACAGATTTTTCTTCAATTTTATACAAACAAAAAACGAAGAAACTTTTTCGCCGACCTATTATACCTAAGGGTGAAAAACGAGCACACAGTCCATCTGGTGGGAAGTGGCTCATAGACATCTACATTTATCCTCGATTAGAAATCAAAATGCAGATGCGTTGTCAGGCCTGAGGACTAAGATGAAATGCCTCGTTACCAGAAAAATGGGTCTCCGGGTTCTTTACATTCACCATACGAAACACAGCAGCATTAAGCTGCTATTTTGCGCTATTTTATTATTAATTAAAAATATTACGAAGGGATGTGAAGACGGATAACGAACGATTGCCTGCGTCTAAAACCTCTCATAAGCAAGAGGCCTGTGCCCAGAAATGAGGCATATTATGAAGGCTGTTACTTTAAATTTTTACTTTGAGAAGGCCAACGAAACAAAACAAAAGTTTCTGTGTTCTCGAAATCGGATCTGTATCTTGTTAGAGGTCTGCTTTTAAACAATCTATAGTAAAACTTGAAAAATAATATTAGTAAAAAAGAACTAACTTAAAATATTATATCTTCATTCTTGAAAAAATATCCAGTAGGTACCTGAACATGCCCTCGTGCTTAAGCGGTCCCATAGCCGCTTCCATATTGTGTGTCAGTCTGAACGGTACCCTCTCCGGCCATTCGAAAGACTCCCCTTTGTTAAATAAGCAATTGAAGTCCACATGCACTGTATCGCCATTAGTAGTATCGAAGGAAATGTTCTCGCCGTGTCGATCACCTAAGCCTGTATTAGAAATTGGAAATATATACGCGGTTCTTTTAAATGACCTAATTATTTTAAATTTATTTATGTATCAGGCCGTAACTGTCCACTTGAACAAGGGCCCGTACCATTGCTTAGATTTGCCGTAACCGATACGATTGCTCTGCAAGCACAAATTTTTCAATATGGATTTATAAACATTATCATCTTCACAGCCCATCTTAAAAACTGCTGCCGCTGATCATCATCATTATCATCAGCCTATCAAAGTCTCAAAGTCCACTGCTGAAAATAAGCCTCTCCTATAGATTGCCTCATGGGGGATATTTTTTATAGATGCCACGCTTGCCAGGTGGGTTGGCAAACGCAGTTTTTTTTTTTATTATCAGACGAAGATAATGCTTTTGCTTTGCGAATTAAAATGCAGATGAGATGTCAGCCGTGAGGACTAAGATGAAATGTCTCTTTTGCAGTAAAAAGGGTCTCCGGTTCTGTACACTCACCATACAAAACACAGCAGCATTAAGCTGCTATTTTATGCTTGCAGTCTATGAGAGCGTGGTCTTTCCCTGTATGAGCCGACCCATTCATGCTACAACTATACAATTAATATAGCTGCAGCATGGCTCTACCACATTTGGCACTACTACACTCCACACTATGACTTCATTTAAAGGTATATAATAGATATCAAGTAATTACATCCATTTTTAATAAGATAAATTATTTATTATTTTTAAGACCTCAATATAGCAAAATAGTGTTTGTCATCTAACGACAATTTTGCAACGGTTTCAAAATCAGCACCGCTTAAGTATTGTAATTTTCTTGACATTATCGAATTTTATAGCATCAACCTGACTTTACAATGCTATGCGATTTTTGATACAAAAAATAATAGCGGGTGGGGTATTCTCTTGCTTTATAGAATAAGGGTGGCAAACGAGCACAAATTCCACCTGATGATAAGTGAATGCTGTGGCCCATAGACTATCCTCAAAATATATATATATATATCCTCAAAAGGATAATTAAGTATAAAAATACAGATAGTGTTGTCGCGGCATTTCATCTTAGTCATCCCTGAGGACTAAGATGAAATGCCGCGTTTCTAGTAAAAAGGTCCTCCGGTTCACTACACTCACCATACGAAACACACCAACCTACCTACCTAAACCGGTGGAGCCGACCCATTCGTGCTACAACCGTAATATGGCTACAGCGTGGCTCTAACACTTATAAAATTATTAATTTATAAGGAGATATTCGCTAAAAACATTTCGAAGACATCGCGGCGGTCGCTTCGTTGCCCTAAAACCGTCTCAGAAGTGAAACGGGGCCTGTGCCCAGCAGAGGGACGTATATAGGCTGAAAATATTTTGTACATTTATTCGCTAGAAACTTTCGTAGAACTTTTCGTTAAATCTTAAGATATTATCTGTAGCTCCAGTTAAAAGTTATTGTTTACAAATACTCTTACGTATTATCGAACTATTAAAAATACATAATAATTATTTATTATGTATTTTTAATAGTTATTTAGAAGTGAGGCCAATATCTAGTGATTTAAAAACCATATTGTTTTGCTTATGTTTCGTTTATAAAATACGATATAATATATATTTCCTTGATATCTAAATTTATTTATTCACTTTAACCCTTATAATTGCTTTGTTACAATGGATTGTCTTCATAAAGTATAGATAATTTTAATTATCAAACAGAGAAGATATTTCGGCCTTTTTCTGTTTCAATTTGCCTCGGTCTAAATTTACGACACGAGAAGAGGATTCCCTTACACCGCCTGCCCTCACAGCAACACTATACTAACCTAATATATATCCAACCATTGACATAACCGCTGTTGTACGTATGTATGCTGATCTTGCTTGATACCTGCAATTAAAAACACAGATGAATACCATAGCTTTTCCTTAATATCATAGGAACTGCTATAGTTATGGCAAAGGCAACACATTATTAATGATAGAAAATGTTGAAAAGTAAGGCCAGCGAGACGAGATAATGGGAACAAAGCTAATGACCAATGTTATGTTACTAGTGCGAGCTTATCTCTAGGTCAATCTGTCGAGTCCCTGTCCAACACATCAGATTAGCACATGCCACATTTGTAGACCTCAGAACCATAGATAAGAGTGCTCAGAACAATTATTATTTAAATGTTATTTATAAGAATGATACAACTAAAATGCTAAAAGTTTTATTAGAACCAGTCTCGTTACTATATTACGAGAATTAAGATTATACAAGAAATAAATTAAGAGAATTTAATTCAAATTTGTCGCCTAGCTCCCATCCGCCAAGCCCGTATTGTCCGATAAGGAACTTCGTTCCAATAATATAGTAAGTAGTAGTTACTAAAAAAAATTTTCGCTCAATAAACGAATTGCACCCTTATAAACCTCGCTACGTACATTACAGCTGACTGACTAGCTGTGTCCCCATAGGACGTTGACTGACTATCATAATTTTGATTTACATATAAAGAAACAAAAGTTCATAAAGTTTCAGTCTTAAGAAATTGATTTTATTATGTCGATGGTTTGACCTGTTTGACCGCGCACCTGAGACACCGGTTCTGATATCCGCTTGACTGACCGTAGCATTTTATTGTAAATTATGATTATAACCTGAGAAAAAACCAGGCTTAATAAATTCAGAGACTTTTTTGGCTCTGTCTCTTGGACTATTACGCTACCTTACTATTAGTACTAAGTCGGGTTCGAAAATCGATGTAGTACTTGACAGACCGTGTAAATGGCTCTGTTATAGAATTATTTCATTTGTAAGATTTGTTTTACCGGGTTTCTACCTTAAATTTGCCAATTTATATGAAAACCTTTAAAATGGAAGTATTCACTTATGGAATTTGTATCTATCTATTGATTTTAAAATACTATGTTGTATTTTTCTGTAAAAATATGGACCTGCGAAGCCGACGTAGTTCTCCGCGAATTTAATAAAAATGGCGATGTTATTAATGTCACATAGGTTCCATAGATTAGTTGACAGCGCCTGGTTTTGAGAATCAAAAAAATATTATTGACCTTGGCCTGACCACAGGTCTGACGGAGTTAGTCCGATACAATGTCGGGATCTCAGAGGTTAACATATGCTGTAAGTGTTAGAAAGCGGTCAGCACTGGAGTTGATAAAGCACTTAGCAAAATCTTGTAAATAAAACTTTATTTTATTTAAAGTGAGATTAAGACACAGCCCGAAATGCTTAATACTACATATTTCCAAAGATTTTATAAAAACAATATGGCATAAAAAATATTTAAATAAAACTCCTCAAGCACAAACAAAACTGTCAAATTTAACATCACACACACACACACACACACACACACTACATACAGGGTTAATTCTTACAATTACGTTGAAATAACATTCACATCACAATACATCATACAGTTTAATTCTCATTAACATACCATCCGTAAGGATCAGAAAATACACGTCTGAACCACTCCTGAAAGACGGGCGGGTGGCGACGAAGTAACTGCTGTTCAAATATTCGTCTCATTTTCTCCACTGGGTCGTTTTTAGAACACATCAACTCCTTCAGTTCCCGATTGGTTGTATGGATACCTGTTATAAATGAAACCAGATAATTATAATTACTTTCTGCCCATATCCGGTTCCAATTAATGTCTACTGTTAAAACGCCGATTTTGACTATTTTTTAACTGCTGTGTGCATAAGAAAATATATCGATAAACGGTTGAAAGCATAACACTGGGAACCGGCGCGGCCCGGAAAGGAGTAGCCATATTGCAGGCGTTCCCCTGTGCCAAAACCTATGCCAGACCTCCTCTGACTATCAAGAGTTTGCGAACAATAGAACGAACGGCTTTTTTCGCGTGAGTCAGTTAACTTACTTTTTACTTTACTTCATTCAACTTTTTGGTATTAAATATTTTTTATATTTAATACCAAATATTATTTTTCTGCGACCCGATTTTACAAATATACAGGTTTCATACTTAAAATAATTTTTATCACACTAAAAAGCCTACATCAATCTATAATAATGTAGCTATTTATCAGTAAAAGAATTTTCAGAATCAGATCAGCAGTTCCAATACATACTGTAAACAAACTTACACATAAACAATTTTATCTTATTATTCTATTAGTGTAGGTAACACTACCCTTCGACAGGATAATAATATCCTTGACGGGTCCATGGCGCAATGGCTTGATATTAGTTGCGACGCTGATAGCCGCGGGTTCGAATCCTTCACGGATCAAGTATTTGTAATGCCTACGAATAATTGTTTCGTGTATGGATGTTTGTCCTTGTGCAATTTATGGTTGTAAGTTGCCTCCAAGGTACAGGAGAAAATTCTAGTGTGGGAGTAACGTTTTTTTACTCAACTTCAAAAAGAAGGAGGTACCCAATTCGACTGTATTTTTTATGTATGTTACCTCATAATTTTTTTCTAGGTGAACCGATCCTGATGATTTTTTTAATTGAAAGCTGGTGCTTCTCGTACGGTCCCATATATATTTGATCAAGGTCTGACCAGTAGTTTTTGAGTTATCCTTAATAATTTATATTGAAGTCGGTTGTACAAAATTATTAATTTTATTATTTTAAAAATATATATATGAAAATCCTATACTATCTATATACTTTAATGCTATATAATACTCCATGCAGCGAAAAAGACATATGTCCAGCAGTGGACTTTAAAAGACTGATGAAGGAACTTTTACGGAAGAATAACACTATATTACCTTTCTGCTTGTATATGTGTAACAATATCGGCCTCAGCCCGGCTAAATTCGGCACCCATTCTATCAAACCGCACTCTTCATTAAGAGGCAGCACACTATAAGTCCTGATGTACAGACGCCGACGTCTAGTCTCGGGTGCGTCTTGCAAAAATCGGTTCACGACTCCGTTAAATTCCATTAGACGGTAGTCTTTGCGTAGATCGTCGCGAGATTTCAAAAGTATTATGTAAGATTTCCCATCGGAACCTGAGCATATAAAAGAATTGGGTAGATAACACTCATATCATTTGAAATATTATGGGAGTACAATCTCTTTTATTCTTCTCACATTCTCTCTCACGCACCACTCAATTCAATCCGGGCATCCATCCTACATACACAGTTTAATTTACTTTAAGCCTTATCATCAAACATTCAAATATACAACTTTCACATTTAAGATATTAGGGAGCTTAATGTCGTTGACTATAAAAGTAAACTACATGGAACGATAAAGTAGAAAAAGTAGTTCTATAAACATCCTATTGTTGTACACAGGCTCCATTTTTTTTTAGAAATTACATACGAAGAGGACATACGAAGTTCATCATCACGCACCGGTGCGTGATGATGAACTTCGTATGTCCAACTTTATGTGTCCTTGTAATATTTATTTAGCTGACATGCAAGTTTCCTTACGGTGCTTACTTTAAATGAAATGCGGTAATTTCTCAATTTTTTTTATAGTATAAGGTGACAAACGAGCACACAGTCTACCTAATGGTAAGTGATTGCTGTGGCCCATAGACATCTACATTTATCCTCGTTTGCAAATCAAAATGCAGATGCGTTGTCACCCGTGAGGACTAAGATAGAATGCCTCTTTTCCAGTAAAAAGGGTCTCCGGTTCTCTACACTCACCGTACGAAACACAGCAGCATGAAGCTGCTATTTGACGCTGGTATTCTGTGAGAGCGTGGTCCTTTCCCGATCGAGCCGACCCATTCGTGCTACAACTATACTACTAATATAGCTGCAGCATGGCTCTACCACGTAAAAATCCAAAAAAGTAACCAATATTAAGTCCACAGCGAAACACGAACCCCTTAAAAGTTAATAATCAACTTACCTTTTAATGTGACCTTTCTGGGCTTCTGTAACGAAGGCAATATTTGAATTTTCTCCTCTATGCCGGCAATGTACACTGACGGTTCTTTGGGTATGTTGAAATCGATGCGCTCTTGTCGCGCCGCTTTGGACGGTAGGACAATCTTGCAGAACTCTTGAAAAGGTATCATTATATGGCTAAAATTATCGCCCGCCAATAACCTTGGCAGGGTTCGGACCAGTGATGAAACTGTAGGATTCTGCAGAGCAAAATAGGCGATTAAATAAAATTTAGAAATAAGTCAAAGCAGAGCGTGTGCTTTTTGTGTGCAGCACATCTCGGAGATCCAAAAGCACCTTTGAAGCTTTCCGTCACCGTGCTTTCTACAATTGTAAAGCTAGTAGAAAAAAACAATAAAAGTTAATGGCAATGACACATCTCAATGTTAAGCCACATGACATTTCATGTGGCTTAACATTGAGAATGTGAACAGCGATAAGTAGCATGAATGCATGCTACTTATCACTGATTTCATTCCCATTTATACTTTTCTATTAGCATTAACGATTGTAGAATGTCAACACGGATAGCCACTGGGTACTTTACGTCTGGCGTAGATGAGATGGTTTTTTTTAATAGAAATAGGATGACAAACGAGCACACAGTCCATCTGATGGTAAGCGGTTGCTGTGGCCCATAGATATCTACATCTATCCTCGTTGGCGAATCAAAATGCAGATGCGTTGTCAGCCTTGAGGACTAAGATGGAATGCCTCTTTTCCAGTAAAAAGGGTCTCCGGTTTTCTACACTCACCATACGAAACACAGCAGCGTTAAGCTGCTATTTTACGCTGGTATTCTTGCTGGTATTATTATAGTTATAACGAATTTTGAATTAACGAATTCAAAATAATAATTGTTCAATGATTTTAGAAACTTACCGCAGTATTGGCAGCTAGAGGCTTATTGCACAGATCAATCAACTTTTCAGCGAACTGAGTGAAATCGCACACAAGTTTCAACATATGCGGTTCTTTGAGTCGCGGATCCGCGAACACGTCTGTGCAACGTTTGATGCGTTGAGGATAGCTTGATTTGATCACGCACATCATCATCCATAAAGTGTGTTGTGGGTACGCCATTATTAATTTCACTATAATTGCTTTTAATTGAAGATAAACCTGGCAACATAAACACATTTAGTTGTTAATTACAGTAACTAGCTGAAAATTTTACTACATCGAGCTTTCGAGATTTTCGGCTAATTTCGTCATTGTAGTCGTAGTCTCTTTCTTAGAGCTATAAAACGAATCACATACTTTATTAATAAATTCCAAAAGAAAATCCTGTATAAAATACAGATTTAACAATTCTTTATCATATATTTTATAGTATAATATAATCAAAAATACTAAATATCGCGTCATTTTCCCACTCTAACTATAGTTCACTCTGGTACTACCTTCTACCAAGCCTGTCTCACTCCACGCTTTAGGCATGAAAATATAGCTACGCTGCGCGGCCGCCTACAGGAGGCTAAATCAGTGAGGTTGTCACGCGCGCGCTCGAGTTCACGCGCACCTTACGTTACCAAAAAAGTATTTTTCTCTTATAAGTATTTAGGCGCTTTTGATATTTATTTTTGAGTTTTTATTCAAGCATAGCCATTCAAAGGCTACAACCCGAGAACGTTTTTTCCATGTCGGTTGTCAGTTCTTTCCTATTAAATCGCCCATTATAAAATCAGATCGTTTTGAGGAGACTGTCACCTCGCTGAGTGCCTGATGTTCCCGATACAAACATTGAAAGTCAAAATCTAAGTATATGAAGGCTAATAATCTTCCGTTCACCAGATGTCGTTAGTTGGGACCGAGGTGAAGTTATTAGTGTTACATAATGTCATTATAATTAAGAACTTTCGTTTTATATAAAAGTTTATCGGTTTCGAACGTATGTAAATACAAAAAACAATGCCTCAGTGGTTTGTTCTTTATTTTATTTTTTGCACATTTTGAACACTCTCTTTAATTTTTCAACTATTAGGAATATACGTAGTTTAGTTTATCCATTTCTAATCTAAGTAATATAAAATGTAACTTATATTCGGAAAGAAGCATTAACCTTTACATTTTCCTAACAAATTGACGTCTCCCGCCATTAAATTAGGGAAATATTTCACCTTATTCTTAAGTAGAGCCGCTCTGGTGGCAGGAAAATTGGTAGATTCCATTGAAATAATAATTGACGTAAACACCAACATTACCTCCTTGACCGGATGACAAATTCTGGACACTATTTGAGAGAATGCTGTCAGGTATAAGTAGATAGGCAGTCTTTCGGAATACGTCTTAATGATCTCAGTCATTTGCGCTAATACTGAATGGATGCTCGTATCCGCTGGTGTTACTTCCACATCCAACCTTTAAAATCCATAAAAACTCTAATATAATGAAAAAAAAATTCCTAAAAATTTCACATAAATTAAAAATTAAGTAAATCAGATTTACCAAATAGACAACATCCTTGGCATGCTCTGATATAAGTATTTGTGTCCATACTGCAAAGCTTTCCCATATGAATTGAGGGCATACACCCGTCGGGACCAAGTCAGGTTATTGGGCGGTACGTCACCGCTACATACTTTCTCGTAGTACGCACCCAGACACACCTACAAAACAATTAGATTATTTGACGTGGGGTGTAAAAGATATTGTAAAAGAGTTCATCACCCCATCTCATCAGAAATTTATAAGAATGTAAACACAGTATTTAACGAATTACCTATTCCACAGTATACAAGTGATAATGTTCTTTTTTCTTAAAAATCATTAAAACCTTTATTACATCAAGCCTAGAATAATCATCGGGTTTCATCATCATCATTCATCATTACAGCCCTTCACAAGTCCACTGCTGAACATAGGCCTCCCCCAAAGAAAAAAAATCATCGGGTTTACTCTTACGAATTTGGTTACATACACTGACGAAATATCTAATGCAGTTGATAAAGGGTTACAAGTCGACGCCGTTTATTTAGATCTTTGGAAAGTATTCAACCAAGTTTGTTACACTATCACCATTCTATTGCACAAATAATGCGTACTACGGCGTATGGCGTGCTGCGGTTTTTCTGCTACTTAAGAAAATGGTCTCAGCACGTTGTAGTACAGGGCTTTCAACCTTACACATACAAAGCTATATCTGGTGTGCCACAAGGGTCACATCTGGGCCTTAGTTGATTAATGTCTTAATAAATGGCATTATACGCGATCAACTGAAGTATTGTATAATATTTCTATTTGCTGATGATCTCAAATTAATTCGCAAAACTCATACACATTATGATATAATCTTGTTACAAAAAAAAAATAATTTAGCCTTATCAAAACGTAGGGCAAATAGCACCTGCAAAGTTTCTCCATAAATTAGTAAAGGGCGAGACTGACTGTTCGCAACTTTTAAGCCTGCTAAATATCCGGGTCCTATTGAAGTATCCTAGACTCCCGGTTCATTTATTCCATCTAAAAATCTAAAACTAATTTGTAGAAAAACTCATCCATGCCCAGGATATACCGTTTATATAATAGGTTGGACTTAGATATTTACCATAATTAGTAATAGACCTACAGAATTCATAAAAAAATTTTCGTTTCTTTGTAAAATGTAAAAAATTAGTTAAAAAGTATTGGTTATTGGTAAAGGTTTGCAAAGAGCAATGGCAGACTTCCATACATAAAATTAGTTGAGAAGAAATGGTAGCGTCTATATACCAAAAATATCTTAAAATGTTAAGCGTCAGTCCCTTAATAACTCTGTCAAAGAACTTTGTACTGAGAAGGCGTCAAAAAAAAGATATATACATTTGAACCTTTTCAGGTTATGTCCTATGTCACTTGGAAAAAGTTATGTTTCCTGTGGTTGTTTGATGTTAGCTTAATACATAATACATTATTGAGAGTTTTTAGATTATTGTATCTCTATTATATATTTGCATACTATAAATGTATGTATCTGGCATGGCTCCAGGGCTTTTATACCATAGTGACATTCTCAGAAGGGCTAGAACCCAGAGCCGTAAAGCCAGTAAAAAAACAGTGACATTTTATTTTAGCTAGTGTTGGCATAATATTAAATGGAATTGTTACATAGTACTATGATTGAGATAATGTATTATTGTAGGAAATTCTTTGTAAGAGACATATTCTCAGCCATATCACTTTTATTTTTGTTATTGCTGATAGTACAGTTATTACTAATAATAACTTAATATAAAAATATTTTGTGTGTTGTGTTGGTAGTGTTACAAAGTGTATACGAAAATAGTATGAATACACTAAATGGCAACATTTGAATAGAGTAAAATGATATAAGTCATTTGATATTCCCAAAAATGTTTGTTTTTTTCTGTGACTTCAATTAAAATACATTTTTATTTGAAAAATGATAGAAAAATAATAAAACCCATTTTATATATAACTTATTTCTAGACGCTATAATTTTTGTCAACTATTTTTCTGCCATTGCTCTTTGTTCTCTTTCACTATGGCACTGATTTTTACTTTCCATTCTTGCACGAGTCGTTGGTCAAAATACTATTAATGTTGTGAATATAAATACTAATTACTTTTTGTCTAAGAAAATAAACAAAATATTTCTATGTAAGAAACTATATAATAAACAAAATAGTTCACATGTCCTCGAAATATTATTTTCTCAGTAATGAGGCCTGTGCCCAAAAATGCGTATTATAAGCAGTTACTTTACTTTCCAGTTTTTAAAATGATAAAGCTTTTGGCATTTATTTAAACACATTCGTTCTTAAAAAAAGAAAATTTCCGTAATTTTTCACTAATTTTCAGCTTACTCACCAAACTTTTTTCCCATTGCTTGAACACCTCCACTGACTCCTTATAGTAACCGATGTTTACGTCGACATCAACGTTTGTGGTTTCATCATTATATTTAGCTATCAACAATTTTGCCTTGGCACATATTTTTCTACAACGATAAAAAGTTAATAGATTGATAATTCCAAGGAATGCAATCCATCTTATATCAGGATACATCTTCAAGGACATTAAGATTCTCGCGGGTACCAACGAAATAGATAATTGCAATTTTACGTGCTAAATTACAAGCTTCGTTCTAGGTGGAGAAAAAATGTATAGAGAAGAAACCTCTATGCCTGAAAATGTTGAAAAATATTTGTCAGACATATGAAGTACGCGTTTTGGCCAAAAGAAAAGAGATCTCCCGCCGGACAAAGTGCTCGATCGGGGTGCAGCCAGCGCTCCCAGTGATCAGAGTCCTTCGGATACTTTGATGGCGTGATATGGTGGCGATGGTACACTATGGCGTTCGCTTTAGCTTGAGACTACAGTACCACTACAATGCATTTGGACAACCCGGAGTAATAATTTCCTACCCTAAAACTAGAGGAAAGGCCTCTGACCAGCATTATGACGTATGTAGGCTCTTATTTTACATTTTAAATGCTAGTAGTGGCTACTTTATAAAAAAGTATTACAAAATGCAATGGAGAAAAGAACTTTTAGACTAAGGTTCAAAATTTATTATTTTAACCTATTTCTTAGAGTAAAATATAAGCAAATTGCAATAAAACCTCAAATAAGTTAAAAATTCTAAGTTTTAAAGCATGGAAGTGGTGATGGGCTAAAATAAAATCGATTAATATAGTATCGGTTACTTCAAAAGAATATAGGAAAATGACGACAATAATTAATTAATTTATTAAAAGAAATACATTTCAACTGAAAAATAAACGTGTGATCGATTTATATTTCAAAATCGATTTTTATATTTTCAAACTCAATTTTTATTTACTACATAGTCTGTGAGCTGGGCATATAAGGTAAAAAACACTTGTTCGTTTCATAATATACATATATGATTAGGTGTTTTTGTTTCTTTGTTTTTATTTCCTAAAGCTTCGTTCTAATTGAGGCGGATCCCGCGCGGGACGCGATTCGCTCGCGCCGATTGCGTCAGCTAACTTGTATGGAAGTGTTCACATTGTCACGAATAGTCGTGCTGCAGCGAAATATACGCAGGATGGTGCTTGATTTTTCGAAATGCCGCTGAACCTTGAATTTCGTTATAGCATTCTTCTGACATACGAAAATATATATTTTTTTTTCTATCTTTTCGTAATGTGGGTATGAAAGTGTCGAACTCTCCAAATTCTATGCGAGTACTCGTGAACCCATTTATTAAGTTTTGGCGGGAACTTGAGTGGCGACAGCTTACTGCTCCTGCATTATTCTTTAAATAATGTTTTGAAGTGGATTTTGGCCATGGTATCTCAAGGCGTATAAGCAGAGAGACACCTTGTCTGTTTAGGCGCCTTGAGATACCATGGCCAACTGTCAGTCTGCTGGCTCAAGTTGCCGTCAAAATCTCCCAAGGGCTGCACAATGTCACGCATCAACATATTATGAAGCAGTGTACTATGAAGAATAAATATACATTATAACTTCAGGCTCAGAAGGGCTAGAACCCAGAGCCGTTAAACCAGTTATTAAAAAAAATGAAACCATTTTCTTGTTTTCTTCCTCAGTTAATGCTAATAATAACAAAACCTCATGTTCGATATCAAAAGACATGTTTTCCTATTGAGAAACCAAAAATAATGACGCGCGGGATTCGCCTTAGTTTGAACAAAGCTCTAATTTGCAGTCCAAATGATTTTTTTTTTTACTATTCTCAACCAGTGCTTGACTACTATCCCACCTGATGGTAAGAGGTGATGCAACCAAATATAGTAAAAGCACTGACTTAACAAAAGCCAATTCATTCTTGCCTTGAAAACACCCACATTATAATCGGATGAAAAGACACATTATTTTAGAGAGAATATCAATTGTTTAGTTCGATATAGTTAAAAATAATTTCGAAACAAGCAACTTACTTCAAGTGATTTTTTTTTTTGCTTTTAATTCTGTAATATGAATTTTTGCTTTAAATGTATTTCTAACAACCGGATTTTTTCAACCGGGTTATTGGTCGGTTAGCCTACATAGTTAAACACCGGAATTTAATTGAATACAGGAAATATAGGAACAGAGCATTGACCAAGTGGTTGTCGGTAGCAGTAATAACTATGAACTACTATCAAACCTTTGTTCTTGTGTGAGCTTATCTATCTGCGGATAGGTTTCCTCCAGTCCACGTCGTAGTGTTGTGAAAGCGTGCTCTTGTTGCCCCCGAGCCCAATACATCCTTGCTTTCTCTATAAATAACTCCTCCGGTGTATATTCCTCCGCATTTAGTATATACATGTACGACTGGGAAAAATATTATAAAGAAAAATTATCAATGTCAAAATCAATATAAACAGAAAAAATATCTTAAAAAAGACATTATTAATAGTATTATAGAGATCGTCTAATTAAAAACTGCACGCGCCTGTGTCAAAAAATCTAAATCTGCGCTCCATTTTTATTGTGTATATATATAGTAGGTTTTAGCATTCTTATTACATTAGACATAAGTGATAAAATCTAATAAAATACAAGGAAAGGCGAGTAGCTTAAAAAACCAATATATACCAATAAAAGGGAACCATATCTAAAGTGAGCGACGACTATGTTATGTAGTCTAATTATCAGGATTATTGATAAGATTCTTAAGTGGCAGCTTCGTACCGGTAACCGAAGCGACAGTACAAACAGACATAATGGTAGAATGCGGACCGTAAACTCAAAAGTCGTGAAGTCAAATCCTCGATATAATAATTATACCACTCTTATCACAAGCAACTTAAGCTTACCTGGAGTAGTAAATGAATGGTAATGTTAATAGCTTAGGTATTTTTAAAAAAAAATGTGTAGGCCAGTAGATAGTTATAGTGACGACCTGGTAAGAGATACAAGAATGCCATTGATGCAGGTGGCTCAAGACAATGCTTTGTGGCATTCCTCGATAGAGGCCCATGTTCGGCAGTGAACTTTACTTTATACTATAACGTGATAATAAAGCTTACTTAATTATTTAGATAAATATAAATGTTGCAAAACTTTACCTGCTGAAAAATTCCCGCCTTTCTAGCTTGCTTAGCGCTTTGCAACCACAGATTACCAATGCAAGCTTTCAAACGATTCGAAGTCATTGGATGCGTCGGTTCTAACAGTTCCTAAAATGTACAATTGAAGTTTTGACATCTTAGGAGTTTTAATTCGGCTCAATCAAAAATCAACACCAAAGACTTATAGAAAAATTTGTTTTTCTTCGTGTGCCTTATAGTGACAAATAAGCACACTGATGGTAAGCATATGCTGTAGCCCATTGGTAGCTACATCTGTCCTCGATTTACAATTAAAATGCCATTAGGTTGTCACCCCTGAGGAAGAAGTCGGAATGCCTTTCCAATATAAGGTCTCCGGCTCTATTCCCTTTCCATACAATGCACATCAGAATTATGCTCTTAATTTCAGCTGATAGTTTCAGGCGTGGTCTTTCCCCGTTAAAGCCAATTTTGTACCTGCAGCTGCAGCATTAAATTGAAATTTCGTTAACATTGTTGTGATGGTGTTAGAATATGAACTATCTCTCATATCATGGGTGTCGTAAAAGGCGACAGAGAGAAACAAACCACGAAGATAGGCGGCAGCGTTTTCCTATATTCAGTAGTGGAATTTTTATTGGCTGTGATAGTTCCTTCGACCGGAGAAGAAACAAATAAAGAAACTATATATCCGTATTTATATCATTTTATAATTTTCTCTATAACAAAAACTAGTAAAAAATTACAAACCCATTGATAAATTCAAGTTTTTAAAAAGTTACCTCGCGTACATCCGCTCGATAAAATAAAATGATTTGTCCTACCTAGTTTGAAGAGCACCTCCCGCCCTCCCTCCATCACCACTAATCCCAGCACCACTACTCCCAACACCACTACACTAGGAAAGACACCACTGACGACAATACGACATATGTTTCGCCTCTCCACGAGGCATTTTCAGGTGATATAGACTCTGCGGTGGCTGACCGCTAAGTGAACGGCGAGCCAAAACAACTGCTATTTATACAGACCGCTGACGCAACCGCTTCCTACTTAAGTAGCGAGCGACTGCTTCATACGATAAGACATGCAACCAATCACCGCCGGACTTACGCAGCCGTTTGTAAAATTAAAAACAAACCACCGCGCAACGCCCGCCTACCCTCCAACCACGCAACCAATCGCCGATCACCGTGAGGGTGACAAACGACCATATTGCGAGGCTGTCTGTTATTAGAGAGCAGGCTTGAAGATATTTAAGAGAGATGAGTTAGAAACATTAGTTTGTTCATTCAACAGTGCAACGTTACTATTATTAATTTTTAATATCTCTAACTGTTCCAGCACACACAGTCGCAGCCCTTTATTACACGTATGTAAGACTTTAAAGGAGTGGTCGTTGGCTAGATTGTGTCCAGTGTCCAAAAGATGTTTAACAAAATGGGATTTATCTTGATTTCAATTCCTGTACGCGGCTAAATTTTGCTCTTTATAACGTGTCTCGATGTTGCGACCAGTCTGACTCACGTAAACGGCGTGGCATTCGTCACAAACAAGTTTGTAAACACCCGGCTTTTGACGAATATCCAACTTATCTTTATTATTACAGATATTTGTAAGAGAATTGTTTGTTTTGAACGCTACATAAACGCCGTTTTGTCGAAGAGTCTTAGCTACTTTTTCAGATATGGGGCCTAAGTAGGTCAAACGGCTCACATATCGATGAACACTTTGAGGTTACTAAACCGGAAATAGTTTTGTTTCATACTGAGAGAGGTTAAGTTAAGAAGGTCATTTGTTTCCCCGGGATAAAGACGACGTTTATCAAAGAGATCTGCTAGTATACGCAAACAGTCAGGGGATGGGACATTTGTGAAAAGACTAACAACGTCTAAAGATAACAATATGGATTTAGGAGGAATACGAATATCTTTAATTTTGAAAATGAGATGTAAACTATTTTTTAGGCTGTAAGTGGGGTTGAATCCAGATTTCTCTCGAAGAAGGAAGTTTAATTTTTAGCAAGTAAATAAGCTGGTGCACCTATATATGAGACAACTGGACGAATAGGAACATGTTCTTTATGTATTTTTGGTAACCCATATAAAATGGGTGCTTGAGGATTCACTGGAACAAATTCACAAGAAAACATATGATGACTGTTGTATACATAGCTTAATATCTGAAGTAAGCTTTTTGGTTGGGTCAGACTCCAATAGCTCAAAGTTACCACCTTGGATAATATCGTTAACTTACCGGCTGTACCCGCTACTCTCCATAATGACAACAGTATTGCCCTTACCGGCTTTAGTAACAAAAGGTCGTTTTCCCTTATTCTCTGCTTTAGTGACTTAAAAACAGGGAACTCATTTTATTTTATCGAGCGGATGTACGCGAGGTAACTTTTTAAAAACTTTAATATAATGGATTTCCGCAAAGTAACGCCTGGTTCTATTAATAACCCATTGATAAATTGCTGCTAGCTGATCAACGACACACACATATATTTCCGTAAGATATATTTGATAAATCAATAAAAATAGAATTGCACCGATTCATTTACAATTAAATAGCTTAATTCATAACGATTCGATACGTATAAATTTTATATATATACAACGTATAGCTGGCATACAAAATTAAAAAGATATCATTGTTTACGTTAGAGCCTGCCAGTACTGGCCGACTTCCCGTACGGACGCCTAAAATAAAAATAGCCGGGCAAATGAGGGGATATACATTACCTGTGTTTGTTGCAATAATATCCTCCTAAGTCTCAACAAAGGTTCGATTGTCCTTACGTCTGATTGTACGACAGAGAGTCTTCGACGCCACTCGTCCAGCAGTTGATTCAAGATTGCTTCGCCTTGGCTATCACCGTCATTCAAATCTTTAAGCCTGGAACATAATGTAAATGTGTTACGACAGCAAATATTTATCAACCTCAAAATTTTGTGCAGGCATAGTCGCTATGAGAAATAATGTTAAAAATATCACAAAATCTAAATCTATCTATAATCTAAAAATATCTCATATATTTAAGCTTACATATGTTTGTAGAAATCTATGTGATATATATTCGGCGACAACATGATGTAGACTAATGATCACAAAAATATTTATTTTTTTAGGACTGGTATCGTCAATAAATCGAGCACAAAAAATTAATTCAAGGTTCAATTCCAAGGATTTAATATTGCGCCTAGAGGTCGTAACTATCATTCGTTATTGTACTATAGCGGTTAGTATTAAATAAAAATACAGGTTATTTTTTCCTTTGGGAGAAGTAGTTTTGTGCTGCCACCACAAACTTCTCCACCATTATTATCATTCCTCTCCCCCACACCACACCACCAAACCATGAGGTCGGCTCACTGATAACTGGTATGTAATCTCCTTTCCTTACCTTCTCAAAACTTCTTCAGCATGTTCCGCTTCTTTTACTATATGTAGTCCGAGAACACTCTGATAGCCACTGCGTAGGGCGCTTTCACCTCTACTTTTGCCGTCCATTTGCGACAATAATCTGTTTGTTGCATCTTTACACGACGTTATAAAAGTTTCATGGTCCTGTTTACGGTACGACAGAAGGATACGACCCATAAGAAGGCCCCAGTTCTCACGGGATGACGGCTGAAATATTACAAAACATAGTTGCGACTAAGAACACAAAAAAGGTAAAAGGGAAGATCTCTAAATATTCCAACCTTAACAAAAATGTTGAATACATTTAAGTTAAAGAAACAATGACTACATACGACCCACAACAAGGCTCATCACTCTTAGGAAGTTATCAAGCAGGAAATATTCTGTCGGACAGTATCGGTCTGTTGGCGGATTACACGTTTCTGTGAAATATTTTTATATAAAATGATGACAAACCAGCAGTCCACCTGAAGGTTAGTAGATGCTTTAGACCATAAACACGTAAATTTATCCTTGTTAAAGAATAAACTCGTACATTTGTTGTCAGTTATCAATGAGGACTATGATCGTAAGTGTCGTAAGAGACAGCAGGGGGAAATGTAACAGAAGATGAGCAGCAGCATCTAGCTGATTCTCATTAGCATGCCGGAGTCTGGAAGCCGACGGTGACGGTCTACGTGACCCGATTTCGATGATGTTTTTTTTTTATTTGAAAACTGGCGCTTTTCTTGTGGCCCCTTATAAATTTCATCAAGGTCTGACCAATAGTTTTCGAGTTATCCGTAATAATATATATTGAAGTCGGTTGTATAAAATTTTTAATTTTAATTTATCTTCACAAAGCATAAGATATTTTCATCTCGTGTGTGTTTAAGTAGAGTTAATAATATATTTGCATTAAGGACATTTCATATTAGAACTAGCCTTTGATGATGGCAGTGTATGGTGGCAGTCTTGTGATATTCGCAGGAATGTTTTATAAAAGGGTTATAAACCACTATTTAAATTTTTCTGCATCTATTTCCTTATCGTATTCTCTTGTACTCTTTTATTGGAAAGGAAATAAACAATTTTCTACGAATCCTCCTCCAGCGGATGCCGCATCACCTTTTCTCACGGGCAACTTCCAGCAAAATGCTGCAGTGTCATCGTTTCATCGACGAATATGACGTTGCCCAATTGGTTATATTTTTCATTTCTCTTAAAATGTTATTCTTTGCAAGGCTATGTCATGCCTCTCCATAATTATTTTGCGTTTGATGGGGTTGTTATAAACTAATTTGCTTAATTCCGCGTAAAGAAAGAAAATGATGTGTCCTGCCTAGTTTTGAGGAGACCTCCCACCTTCCCTCAATCGCGCGCACTATACTCGTCGCCGTCAATCCCAGCACTACCACCCCCAGCACCAGCACACTAGACACGACAAACCACTCTCGAAAATACAACACGTATTTCGCCTCTACACGAGGCATCCTCAGGTGAAGTAGACTCTGCGGAGGCTGGCCGCTAAGTGAGCGGCGAGCCGAAACTACTGCTATTTATACTACTTGCTGACGCAACCGCGCTCCAACTACGTAGCGAGCGATTACGTCATGCGATCAATTACCGCCTGACGTACGCCGATATTTGCTGTGAAATTAACAACAAACTACTGCGAAACGTCCGCCTACCCTAAAACCACGCAACCAAACGCTGACCACCGCACCGTGAGGGTGACAAACGACCATGTTGCGAGGCTATATATCATCAAGGAGCAGGCTTAAACATGTTTAAGAGAGGCGAGTTGGAAACATTTGTTTGTTCATTCAGCAGTGCAACATTACCGTTATTATTTTTTAATATCTCTAACTGTTCCAGCACACACAGTCGTAGCACTTTATTACAAGTATGTAAGACATTAAAGGAGTGGTCATTGGATAGGCTGTGTCCAGTGTCTAAGAGATGTTTAGCAAAATGTGATTTATCGGGGTTACAATTCCTGTACGCGGCTAAAAACGTGTTTCGAAGTTGCGACCAGTCTGACCCACGTAAACGGCTTGGCATTCGTCACAAACAAGTTTATAAACACCAGACTTTAAACGAATATCTAACTTATGTTTATAATTACAGATATTCCTAAGTGAATTGTTAGTTTTGAATGCCACGTACACGCCACTCTGTCGAAGAGTATTAGCTATTTTTTCAGATACAGTACCTAAGTAGGTCAAACTGTCAACATATCGGCGATCACTTTGAGGTTTAACCGCGTACAGAGAATTGCGTACGACAAGTTTTTGTTTCTTTTTTATTACATTGTCAATGATATTCTTTGAATAACCGTTAGAGACCGCAATTTGATAAATCACATTAAGCTCTTTTAAATAATTTTCTTTACTTAACGGTACAGTAAACAAACGATTAACATAACAATAAAAAGCGGCTAATTTATGTTGCCACGGATGACATGATGACGCAGGATTGACCGTGTCGGTATGAGTTGGCTTTCGATAAATTTGAAATTCGTGTAACGACTCTTTCCTTGTTATTGTTAAGTCGAGGAAATTAATGACACAATCTTGTTCCAATTCAAGCTTAAATTTTATTTTGTCTTGGATTTTATTAATTTTATTAAGGAAAACATCCAGTTGCCTCTTTGTGCCAGCCCAGCAAATAATTATGTCGTCTACATATCGATAATAGTATAAAATATTTTGATTGACAACTATGTGGTGTTTTTCAAAATTATCCATAAAAATGTCCGCCATAAGAGGACTTAGAGGGGAACCCATGGCTAGCCCTTCTTTTTGTAGATAGAAGTGGTTATTAAACCGGTAATAGTTTTGTTTCATACAGAGAGAGGTTAAGTTTAGAAGATCATTTGTTTCCCCGGCATGTAGACGACGTTTATTAAAGAGATCTACGAGTATACGCAAACAGTCGGGGGATGGGACATTTGTGAAAAGACTATCAACGTCTAAAGATAACAACATGGATTTAGGTGGAATACGGATATCTTTAATCTTGGAAATGCGATCTAAACTATTTTTAAGGCTGTAAGTTGGTTTGAATCCAGATTTCTCCCACAGAAGGAAGTTTAACTTTTTAGCAAGGAAATAAGCTGTTGCACCTATGTATGATACAACTGGACGAATAGTATCATACATATGTGAACATTTTTACCGTTTATTTGAATATTTTTACCGATTATTATCATAACAATGAATTTTAATCATTCAAACACTACGGTTAGGTACATAGCGACATATCATTGAAACAATGTCAGGCAAAAAGTTCACTGGTATTTTTTTTTTATATTTTGTTTTTTTAAACATCGACACTATACATGTTGTAATGAAATATAGATAACTTCATAGTTCTTTGGATTTACGTAAAAAGTTTTTTTTTTTAAATCGTGTGTGTACGCTTGTACAAAGTTATTCCAGAATGATTAATGTGAAGCGTCAAAAGGTATTTCTTAGATATTGGTTGAGTTGAAAAATCTAATAATACAATTTAATAATAATATTTAATAATGTAATTCAATATTTTATAATTGCTAAGCCCAAACCGGGTACAAATGCGGACTATATTTTAAAACATTAAATCTGTACAGTACACAGTACACAACCGTTCGCCCACCCGCGCCGCACCGCTCCTAATATAAATATAAAACAGGTCGCGTCATATCATGATGAAAAGCATTTAAATCATAAAACAAAATTTTTAGACATAGATTCTACATAATATACATAACAAAATAATAAAGATAAATATATAATATAATTACTTTCGGAGAATATCATCGTCAGAATCATCAAACGCTGTCAAAATTGAATAGCAGGACATGAAACTTACCACTGGTTTCTGGGCCAATTCCTCTAGTTGCTCAAAGCGACCTAACCGCCACAACGGCTCAGCTGCAAGTTCCATCATATTGTCGTCCGTTTCGCGTTCGTTTAGCAGGCGATATGCGGTGAACGGCTGGTCTAGACCCAAATAGCAATCAATCATGCCCTAAAATAGTAGAGGTAGGAAAATGTAACAATGTGTGAAAATGTTATAGATAAAAATTAATCGCTACTAAACTCACCTATGCACTAAAAAAAGTACTAACCTATGTACTTATAGTTGCAGTCCGTACGAATAAAGAGTGGGATTAGAAATGGCGCTTCATCGAGCCCGTACCATCAACATGCATAGTACTAATAGCAAAACCCGCTAATAACGGTATATCGTTATACTATTCGGTTAATTGAAAATTAGTATGGAAAATATTTCAAAGAAATTATATACGCAAGAAGGTACATTAATTATTTAAAATAACATTTATAACTATACTATATTATAGAATGGTTTACTATATAGTATATGTAAACAATTCTATAATTTCAACATCTGTAATTACCATATACTAAGAAATAAAAGATATTCTATTCTATTCTAGCGACCCGCTCTGGCACTGTCAGTCCAACTTGCCATTGAAATAATGGCAAGTTGGACTGAAGTTATAGAAAAACCCATATCGCAACGTAGTTTTTAGGTCAGTCTTTACTGACGGGTGTGAGCATAGATAGCGACAGTGTGCGAGCGACAGTTGAATAGAGGCGACGCCATTTTCAATCCTTTTCTTTAACCGCACGGGTAGTATAACACGTGGCTTTTAATGTCATCAACCTTGTGTTGGAAATCTTTACCTGTAAGCTGTGTCTATCCAGTTGTCCCTCTTGTGCGAGTCTTTCGTAACAGAGTGCGGCATCCTGCAATCTACCTGTTACTACTTGAGCAAGAATCAATTCCTTCAGGGACGGCTCTGAACGTTTAATCGACAAAATACCTAAAATTAAATATCAATTAAACCTTCGATGTAACATTTACTCTGTGCGCATTATGTAACATTGCAATAATTTTATGGTTCGTCACTTACAACCCATAATATTAAGGCATGAACACTTTGAAAGCTGTAAATTATACTACAATATTACAGTCTGTGGCATGTCTGTAGCAACTCATATAATACAGAGTTACTTTGCAATATACGGCCAAATTTGCAGAAGAGATTCAGAATATGTAATATAGGCCAATAGTGAAAAAAATAAATAAGACAAAAACTCAAACATTTTGTCCTTTTTATCTTTTATATTTAAAATGTGTGGAAATGCATTATTTTAACTGTTTATCATTCATTAATATGTAGTGCCTACTATTTTATTATATACGCACACAATGTCGGAAATGCGTTTTGAATTAATTACAATAAAAATAAATTTCACTGAAAATTCCGTATAATGAAACGCAATTATGACAATTTTGTATAGTGTCATGAGATTAGATGTCAAAAGCTGATGTAAAAGTGTGAAACGGAACGGTGTTGACGGCCATGTTTTGGGCAACCGTAAATGTCAAATATAATATATTATCTATGATGTCAAATGTCAATTGTCATTCCGTTTCTCTAGTGGTAAGCCGAAGCTGCGGAGGTGAGCATGAGTGCCTGTGTACTTCCCGCAGCGCCGAAGCCGTTGCAGAAGTAACTTTGTGTCAATATTTCTGTGTAAAAAAGTGAGGTTATGATTTTCCAAAACAATTATTACTATTAAACTATACATTTCCGCAAGGGGTAATGGTAAGGAGGGGAAGCTTCCCCTGAACCCTCCCCCCCTCCCACCTTCGTAAGCTAGTACCGGATGTCTATAGTTTAAGGCGCAGGTTGAGCAAAATGTCGCGCTAGTCGTTATTTGTGCGGTTTTTAGGAGCTATCTACTTTTTATTTAAAAGATATATCAACAAATAAAAAACACATTATATTTCTACATAATCTTGATTCCATAAAAGCTATATCCAATTTCTTTTTAAACGAATAAATATTAATATAATCTCCTTACAACGAAACCACATAAATGTGAAATTATTATTGATAACATGCATCTCCTCGTAAAATAAGTTTTATTTTGCGATTTACACCAATGGATAGGCAATTTATTAATAAACATTTCTATTATAATTTTTTTTGAAAAGACCAAAATTTGATTTTATTAAGAAATTATTTTAAAATCTGGGCATATTCACTGCTCACGGGCTTGCTGAAGTCAGTGAGCCCTGAGCTCTTCGACGTGAAGCCCGTGTCGTTAGAGCGTCGACTAGCGCAACTCACGTCATATCAGTCGATAATAATATTACTTATTAGGTTATTTATAGGTAGTATTATTTGTTTGTTTTGGGTATAATTTTTCGTATTAGTTATACATATATTTGTTGTGTTTTTTACTGCGCGATGAAGCTTTTTGCGTGTATTTTCTTTGAAGTAAATGCAAATAAAAAAAATGAAGCACCATTAGCATGTAAGGTTCGAATCCATAATTAAAATTTCGACTAATATTATAATTTACACTATAAAAGGCTAATTCAATATTATCACCCATCCACAATATCTTATTAAGTATAATACTGCCTCGTTGGTCTAGTGGTTGTAGTAGTGCGACTGCTGATCATGAGGTCCCGGGTTCGAATCCTGGGTCGGGCCCAAAAGTCAGTTATGAGTTTTTCATTTATGTTCTAAGTTATAATTAGTATTACTAAGTTATAGTTTTTTGCTAAAATATAGTATATTATTTATTGCTTGTTTTTTCTTTTTTTTTTCAAAAAATAATTGAGTACATAAGGTGTTCTATACTTATAATTCGGTAAAAAGTATCTAAGTAGGTACTAATATACCTACTTTTTACTATTAAACTAAAAAATTTTAAAACTAAATTTAACTAAAAAGACTAAACTGACCATTTATTTTTTAACTCAAAACAGGACATGGGTTTATTTATACTCTAAAAACTATAACTTTATACAATTAGTGTTCACTGTAAAATTATATTCGGTATAGACGGTAATTATTAAATGCAACATATTTTTTTTAATCATTAATTACATTTGTCAGTGGATTAAATTTTCTTTAATAAAGTTGGTGATGATTTTAAATAAAAATAAAATTCTGCTCAAGTTTTTTTATTGTTATCTTTGTTAACAACATCGCCTTTAGAACTCTGGAACCGTAAGTGTTTCTTTCAGACGTCCACAATTTATTCAAAATAAAAAAATACTCTTTCTACCGGAGCATTCGTACCAGGTAGACATAAAATATATTCGATTAAAAAAAATTATGTTGAAGATTGTTGACTTTGAATACTTCCATCCAACGAGTTACGGGACAATTTTGTGTCCCGGAGCTTTGTTTGGGGACAATGGGACAGGTGACCGAGAAAAGGGACAGTCCCGTTTAAAACGGGACGTATGGTCACTTTAGGTATAACCCAGCGACGGCTCCGTGGCACAGTGGCTTAGCAATCAGTTGTTGCGCTGGGGGCCGCGGGTTCGAATCCCGCACGGAACAAGTGTTTGTATGGCCTACAAATAATTGTTCCGGGTCTGGATGTTTGTCCTTGTGCAATTTATGTTTGTAAACTGCCTCCACGACACAGGAGAAAATCCTAGTGTGGGGGTAACGTTTTTTTACAATTGAAATTGAAAGATTGAACCCTTATACTTCTTGTTAATTTTTGTATTATCTTTATTAAAGTTACCCTTATGTATAAATAAATATAATTACGTATGTAGAAATAAAATTGATTTTCATCCTCATCAATCATTGGGGTGAGGATAATGTCTGCCAGCATAAATAATAAGCAGGCTAAGTTACAAGGTGCTCAGTTTAAAAATTAGTAGGTAGGTATATTACTTTTCAATACGTGACACGTAAAAATTAACAATAATCAAAAACACATCTGCGAAACATCTTATTTATTTATTTATTTTTTATTGCACCAAATATTTGTACAAAAGCCGAGCTATCTATTTATTTACCTATAGTGAATAGGTATCTTTTAAACTCACAATTTTCAATGCTTCATTTTTAATATATAATTAATTATAAAATTTCATAATTAGATAATATATGAAAATACATAATTCTAATATAATGCAACTAATATATACCGAATAAAAAAATTAAAATACATTTATCTTTGTACGCTGTGTATTTCCATAAAATAGTTTATTGATGTTGAAAAAATAATACTACGTTATATTGTAGCGAGCGGCGCGCCGGTCAAATGCTCAAGGCCGTTCGCATGGAGTAGCCCCTTAAGCAACAAGAGAAATATTTCTTTTTATAGTGTGATTGTATATTACAACTATTCTAAAAATCTAAGCATAATTACAAATAATGGCTACTAGAATGTCGAAATAAATTTCTCATCCTATCAAAGTTTATTTCAATTTTAATTTATTATATTTCATATTATTTTTTCTTAAAATTAAAAAATATATCGATAGAATATGCGCCTACACTTAAAAAAAATCCTGCAAAACTAGTAGCTGTAATATTGTGACAAATTCGGAAAATAAAGAAAGCATAAACTTAACACTATCTATTGATTTTATCATATTGTAAGAGCACCTCGTATGGAAGGTGAACCCGTAGAAACAACTCACCAGCAACTGAGTCAGGTTCGTCCAAAAGAGCGTATATTTCAGCCAACAATGGCAACTCTTCTTGTATCCGCTCTTTCTTTTCGTCCATATAAATTTCCAGATATTGCAGTGCCCGCTCCAATTCGCCGCACGCGAAGTTACCACGTGCAATTGTTAGTTTATCAAATTTCTCCATAAAGGAAAAAATTGCTCTGTAATAAATAATAATTCGTGACTTGGATTTCATTTTACTTTTAATCTTTCTTCTTGTTGCATATTTCTGACATAAAATTTTTTTATTTAAAAATCTTTATCACGGCCCAATAATAATATAGATATCAAAGAGTCAAATAAACATGCTTACTTGTAATTTTCATTCTCAGTTGGACGTTGTTTTAAATGACACCACTCCAAAAGCCATCGATTCAAGAAGTCGAATAGAGTATAAATAGTTTTGCTGCACTTACTCTAAAAACATTTATTTTATAAATATGGCAGATGGTCTTAAATGATTCACTTACACTAAACAGCAAAGATTGAATAAATAATTGTTAAAGTATAAAAATACACGAGTACTTTAACATAAAAGTAATCGAGAACTGAAACAGTACAAAATATAATCATCATATTTTTCATCCTTACAAGCTATTGAAGTCCACTACTGAACATAGGCTTCCCAAGAGATTACCTCATAGGGGAGATATTTCCATAGTTGCCACTATTGGCGGGCAGGTTGGCATCCGTAGTTTTTTTTAATTATTTTGAGCTAGTGACAGCAACAGAGACATTTATTTGACATTTATTAATAAACATTTAATGACATGTTTTAATTTCCTTCTATTGCCCATAACGACACCCACGGGATGATAGGCGCTAGTGGATTTTCTTACATCGGTGTAAAAGGCTTTTTATCATATATTTTTTACATAAATTGGTTTACCTGATTTCCTTCTTCAGTTTGTATTGAATTTATATTAGGAGTCATTCTGATATGACGCAGCATCTTATATTTTGCTCTCTCTGAAGGTACCTCTCTCTCGTTATCAGAATTTTCACGCCCTGTAAGATAGTTCTACTTAAAATACTAGGAGAGGCGCGGTAAGTAAGGGACTTACCCTTGTTGTGCGCATACTGTGAAACAAAGACAAATCTTTTTTGGGTACGCTGAGTAAAATTTTCAAGATACCCTTTTATGAGTTTTGCCTTCTTGAGTTATGAATCTGATATGATTGACCCCAGAGTAAGCCGATAATAGTAAATCTATCACGAGTGTTTTTAAAATTGACTAGGTTATATTTAATCTTTCCAGCATCTCCAATTTAGTGAAGATTTTTTTTATTTTTAAACTCTTCACCTTTGCAGCTTCGATAAGATACAATGATAGGCACACAATAACAAAGTAGAGTCACAAAAACTTTCTTATGACAAAAATACTATTGCATAATATTTTTTAATTATTTTTATACTATTTAATTACATAAAATAATATTAATTAAAAAAACAAAAGTCCAGTAATATCTAGCAAAGAAGATAAGCACCTATTACCGCCATTATCTCCTCTTGAACGTACTGTGCGACAGATTTAGACATAATAGCATGTAGAAGCACATAAGGGAAGAACAGAAATAAGGTGCGTACGTCACGACGCATGCTCGGGTGTACGGTACGCAGCAAATCTCGAATACTCTCAGACTCTATTAGCGAGATCAACTGACCCGTCCAACTGCAAATAAATTAAATATACTTAATAAATTTTGCACCAGAATTATACTGTACTAATTGTGCACATGTCTGCGAAAAGGTTTGAAGGAATCGCTTTGTGCTAACAGGAATACTTGTAGCAGAATAGAAGTCCTGCACACAAGACAGCTAAACGACGAAAATGTTCAGAAGTTTTACCGTAGTCACAGACCAAATCGGCATCACCGTCATCATCGTAAAATCTTTCATTTGAAACCAGTACAAGAGTTAAAACAGGGAGTCACAATATTGCTAATTTTATATCATGGTGGTATGCTATACATGGAGCATAGAACTAGTGGCAGCTTAAGTGAATCCATCACACTAATTCGTCGTGGGGATGTAGTCAAAGGTAACTATGAGAAATTCCAGAAAAAGGCTCACGTTCAATTCTTCCGAAAGATGATAGATGTAACAATTCCGTTCACGCCAAAGGCAAAATATTCCAATCGGCGACGGGAGGCAGCGTTAAAGATACGAAATGTCTGTACAGCGTTAGCTAATTCACCTGTTGATTGAGTCAAATCCTCGCTAAAACGATAGAGACCCATATCCAGCATTGCAATTTAACAGGCTGATGAAGAAGAATAAACGTTAATAGTGAAATTAACACCTGGAAAATGGTATATATACATCCCCGATCAGTAATGAAAAACTGATAGGATTCTAAGCGACTAGTGTGACAATCGTCAATCTGCCAGCCAAAAATGTTGAATGAAAGGAAAATGGCATTATTAACTAAATATTGCGTTAACTTACTTGTGCGCCCATTCAAGAAATGTAGTTGCGTGTACAGACCCAAATAGCGGATGCGTTTTCTTAGGTTGCGAAGGGTAAGCCAATGTGTATCTAAAATTAACAACAACACCGAGTAGTATCAAAATTTTAAAATTGTAAAATAATAGAAATTATCCCAAATATTTAATAATTATTTTTACGGATTTGATCGCGTTAATTTCACTTTTAATTCCCGACGTTTCGGGTGCTTTGTAGCACCCATTGTCACGAGGCGACTGAGGTAATCACCTAAAGTCAAATCCGTAAAAAAAGAAATAGTTTTATTCAATATGTAGTGTTCGCGTAAATATAAGAAGCAAGGACAATTTGAGTGTATAATAGGGCGGACATCAGCAACAAAATGGTCATCTGTTACTTTTCTTTTATTACTAGTAACGTCACTATTTATTTACCAAATGAGCCAGTGATTTACAACGTTTGTCGATTGCTGTTATCGATAAAAAATATTATACGGAATACAGATTTAATCATCTACAATATTTAAGGAGATGAATCAGTAAACGATACTGTACCCGTACCAATAAAGAATTCGGTGTGGGCCTATCGGGGCACACGGCCGTTGATTTTAACGTGAAACGTTTATGTCAGCCAGTACAACTAGTACAACCAGTCAACAAGATAGCTTCCTTTTTAAATATTTTAATACAATTCTACAACACCAGAAAAATTTCAGATGCGTTGCCAGCCTTTTAAAAAGGAGTAATCTCATTCTTGAATGTCACTAAGTCGTATCACTAATAAAAATCTAGATACACAATCCCATGTAAAAGTTATCAAAAAACTGTCTCCAATTGTTTTGACGTAATTCTAGTTGGAATAAAAATACATTAATGTAAATTCAACCTTAAATGCATTGCCTAAAGTTGTATTCACAAAAGGTACGTACAAATTAAAAGCACACCTATATGTTCGAGTGGGCGCTCATTCGGTAAAGACATTTTTTGTCACTGATTGTGTATCTAGTTTTTTATTAGTAATCGATGAGATTTATACAGTAAAACATTTAAGCGTGTTTCCCTATTAAGCATTATATATTATCTGAAAGCATTTCAAACTTAGTAACCTTCAACAACATTATCGATATTTTGATGTCGAAACGGCACCTACTGGCGAAAAACTGAAATGTTTTCCTAATAAATATTCGGCGTAGTTGTGCTATGTTTCGCTAGAGGGCGTCACACACGCGCGAGCTCAAAGTTTTTGTATGCAATTGTTCCCAATGTTCGCTCTATAGCATAAATATATATTATACTAGCTGACAAGGCAGACGCTGTTCTGCCCTTTCCGACGACCATTTGCTTTCCTAAAAAACTCCTGAGATTAGCAATAACAAAATTGAGGGTCACTTATCGGGATAAAAACTGTCCTGTCTCTCAAGTTGAACCAAACTAACTGCACACAGTGTGCTAAATTTCATTGAAATCAGTTCAGTAGTTTAAGAGATCATCGCGGACAAAGAATGTGACACGTAATTTTCATATATAAAGACTATACTACTATACTATACTATAGCATAAATATATATATATATACAAGGCAGACGTTGTTCTGCCCTTTCCAACGACCCTTTCTATAAAAATCCTTAAATTCGCAATAAAAAATTTTGAGGGTCTTTAAGCGGGATAAAAACAATCCTATCTCTCAAGTTGGACCAAAATGCACACAGTGTGCAAAATTTCATTGAAATCAGTTCAGTGGTTTAGGAGTCCATCGCGGACAAATAACGTGACACATATATATATATATATATATGATAAGGATATAGAACGACGAGTGAATGCAGGAAATAGAGTGAATGGGGCTCTACACTCTATTGTGAAGTCAGAATGTGTCCAAAAAGGCACGTATGGCAACTTTAATGTATGGTAGTGAAAGTTGGGTGTGGCAGAAGAAGCATGAGAGTAGAATAAATGCTGTAGAAATGCGGTCATTAAGGAGTATGTTAGGGATGAAGCTGAATGACAGAGTGAAAAATTGTTTAATAAGAGAAGAGTGTGGTTTGCAAGATGATGTTGTGACCAGGATTAAGAAAGGAATGCTTCGGTGGTTTGGCCATGTAGAAAGAATGAATGAGGAAAGAGTGACAAAGCAAATTTATGTTGCAGAGGTGAACGGCATAGTCGGGAAGGGTCGCCCTAGGCGAAAGTTTATCGACCAAATTGGCGATATATTAAAAATTGGCCATAACAAGAGTCTTTAACCGACGAGCGTGTATGCGTAGGTAGGTATAGGACAGGCGTGAGTGTTTATGTATTATGTATGTGTATATATATATATATATTTAAATGTCTTTGATAAGAAATTATTATCCCAAATTATAAATAATAATAGAATAATTAATCGTGCTTGCATTTAAAAAAACAGTTAGCATTTTAGTAATTTATAAGTAATATGGGGTAGTGGACATTCTTACACCGCCAGTATACGGTAAATATCGTCTCGTAGGTACCATAAGAGGTGACAGAGGGAACCTGAAACAGGAGGTGGGCAAAAAAACCCAAAATAAAAAAAATCGGTTGCTGCGGTGCGGCTGCGGCCGCTTTAATTGTACTTTGTAACTGAAAATATTTGAGGAAAATCACTTGAGTACAATATTGAGGTTATGATCTTATTAATAAAAATATCTCAAGATGCGGTTTAGGTTTACGATATCAGCAGAGTGCCACACCGATTATAAACGAAACTCGACTCTCAAGTGTGTGTATTAGAGTACAAGTCACAGAACAGTATTCCTAAGTACAGCATTTTGAGATTTTGTTTTAATGTGTTAATTAATTAGCAACGACCTTGAGATGCTGATATCGTATTGAAGGCGTATCAAATGATTACGCACTTGAGTTCGTCGTTGAGTAACGTTTATTAATACGGGCCTAAGAGTAAAGAAAACCCTCATCAGAGTATGACAGCGATTTTATTGGTTGCATCGTCATCGAAGATGTTGAAAGATGGTGCCGTAAATGTACTGCATGCTCTTCTGTTAAGGGACCAGAAACAAGCAGTAGAGGAAAGTTGAAAATGTACAAAGTTAGAGCACCGTGGAAACGCATAGCTATAGACGTGGCCGTCCCATTTACGGAAACTGAAGGTGGGAAAAAATACAAAATTGTGTTCACAATTACCAGAGCACTGTTGCATACATATTGAAAAATTCAGCTACTTCCATGCATCCAAATTTAAGACCTTCCAAACTTCCACAGGTGTTGCATTTGGTCTCACAGCCTTTTCATTCATCATACCTTGAACAGTCAATCTTCATCCACAGTCACTTCTTTTACCACGCCCATGTTCACGAGAACCTTAACTAGTGTTTCACTCCATACATTCTCCTTATTCATTAATTTAACACAGTATGTTTCCTAACACTTTGTAATTTCTCTGTCCTCCGTCAAAACCTTGCCTGCTTCATCCTTTACACAGTTTAATATCCCTTCCAGTCTTTCCTCTTTCTGTCGTTATGTGATACCAATCTTTATGATCGTGCGGACTCTCCAGTGACTTGTACAGTCTATTCTACACCTTGGCCTTTGCAACCGCAGCTTTCTTTTTACATTTACATATGGTACCATTTTGTCCTTTTTAACTATGTCAGGGGTCGGCAACCTGCGGCTCGCGAGCCACATGCGGCTCTTTGGATGTGAATCTGCGGCTCTTTAGTTTCATACACACATATTATTTATTTTATAAAAAAAAAACATTTAAAACTGATCCACACTGAGCCATTTGGAGCTGATACTGGATCTCTAGAAATGCAATTTATCGATTTAAAAAGTAAAGCTTTGTGGAGTTGAAAAGCAAGTTGAAAGAATTGGAGGTCCAGAAATGTATGTACGTAACGCAACATAAATGAACAGCTTTAAAAGAAATCTGTGGTGCCCATCGGAGGCAGATCCCAGCCATGGTTTGATCGCTCATGTAAAATAGCATTACGCTATAAGCAGGAGTGCTACCGGGCCGGGGCTGACGCATCAACGTCTCGGGATGTAAACACCAGCGCTCTTAAAAAGAAGTATAATTCCGCCTGCAGGTTCTTCAAAAGAGTCATTGCCAAGCCAAGGTCTGATCACATCGGCAGAATTGGCGAGAAGCTAGTTCGCTTTCCTTCGGGAACCCGTGCATTCTGGTGTCTCGCCAAGGCTGTCCAAGGGAACTTCTGTCTTGCACAGAGAGGACGACTCACTGGCCCATGCCGCATAGGAGAATGCCAATCTGTTAAGCTCTCTCTTTGCACCCAACTCGACTCTAGATGACGGGAGGAATACACCGTCGACCACCTCGCGGTGTGAGTGCTTCATGCCGTATGTGCGGTTTACACAGCGCTCGGTTCACAACGCACTCTACTCTCTGGACGTCAGCAAGTCGAGTGAGCCTGATGGAGTCCCTCCCATTGTGCTGAAGACGTATGCTCCGGAGTTGGCACCGGTTTTAACGCGTCTTTTCCGATACTCCTACTTCCAAGGCGTAGTCCCGAATTCATGGACAGCTTTGGTCCACCCGATCCCTAAAAAAGGCGACTGCTCAGACCCATCCAACTACAGGCCTATCGCCATCACCTCCTTGTTCTCCAAAATAATGAAATCCATTATAAACTGCCAGCTCATGAGGTACCTTGACGATCACCAGCTGACCGCCAGTACGGTTTTCGTCGGGGTCGATTAGCTGGTGATCTTCTGATCTACCTGACTCATAGATGGGCGGAGGCAGTAGAGTCCAAGAGGGAGGCATTGGCCGTTAGTTTGGACATAGCGAAGGCCTTCGATCGGGTCTGGCACAAAGCGCTTCTTTCGAAGCTTCCTTCCTATGGGATTCCCGAGAAATTGTACAAATAGATCACCAGTTTCCTTGCTGATCGGAGCATCAAAGTCGTAGTAGACGGTGCATACTCTGGTTACAAGCCTACTAACGCTGGTGTTCTACAAGGCTGCGTGCTATCACCAACGCTGTTTCTCCTGCATATCAATGATATGTTGCAAGCCAGTAACATTCATTGCTATGCTATGCTATTCACCAGTAGTGATGCCTTATATACCGGCCCTTCCAATATTTCTCGGGAAAACGTCGCCTTGTACCAAAAAAACAGAAATGCCGCAAGTTGAGGCACTTATATTCGACGCATGGAATAGTCTTCCAGATTGCTACAGTGAGGTGAAGAAGTTGGCATTTGGTTGACATATTCGTACGAGCAAGCGTTCTCTTGCATGAATATAATTAAAAGTAAAGAAGCGAACTAATAAATGAAAATTCTGAGTCGTGTTTGAACTTAAAACAACAAGTTATGATATATATATATATATATATATATATATATATATATATATATATATATATATATATATATATATATATTATTTATTTATTTCTTATGAATAAATCGATAAGTTTTATTACGCAAGTACTATTTATGGTTGGCACGAAAAAAATTGTGGCTCTTTAAAAACTTTGAAATTTTGTAAATTGTAATTTTTGACTCTTCCGACTCAAAAGGTTGCTGATCCCTGAACTATGTCATTTCCTACTTCCACACTCTTCCATTCTTTGAATGCATTCTGCTCTTCTTTCAAACTGATTTGTATTCCTTTATTCCACCACCAAGTATCCCTATCTACTTTACCTTTACCTTTCGTTTCTCCAAAATCATTCTCCCTGCACTTCTGATACATATTACAATTTCATTCCAAGATTCGTTCACAGACTTTCTAATCATATCATTCATTTGATTTTTTTTTATAGGATAAGGGTGACAAACGAGCACACAATCCACCTGACGGTAAGTAGTTACTGAGGCCCATAGATATCTACATCCACCCTCAACTACGAATCAAAATGTAGATGCATTGTCACCCGTAAGGACTAAGGTAGAAATGCCTCGTTTCCAGTAAAAGGGGTATCCGGTTCTCTACACTCACCATACGAAACACAGCAGCGTTAAGCTGATATTTTACGCTAGTATTCTGTAAGAGAGCGCTCCTTCCCCGCGCGAGCCGACTCATACGTGGTACAACTATACTACTGATATAGCTGCGGCATGGCTCTACCACGTATGAAGAAATCACGTAATATAAATCAATTTAGTTACAACTCTATGATATTTATCATATACAACTGTATAAATTTTATTAATTAGATGCAATTTAGTTTGGGGAGTCATTTTTTATCTTATTTCATTGGCCTCATTTAGATAAGGTCGCGATTTTTTTTTTTATAGGAGAGGGGGCAAACGAGCATGCGGCTCACCTGATGGTAAGTGACTACCGCCGCCCATGAACAACCGCAACACCAGGGGAATCGCAGATGCGTTGCCGGCCTTTTAAAAAGGAGTACGCTCTTTTCTTGAAGGTCCCTAAGTCGTATCGGTCCGGAAAAATCGCTGATGGTAATCGATTCCACAAGGAGGTCGTGCGAGGAAGAAAACATCTTCTAAATCGCACAGTGGTGGACCGCCAATCATCCAGATGGTGTGGATGGTATCGGGAGTTCTGCCGCGATGTGCGTTAAAGATGCGATTTAAGATTTTACAACCTATTTATTAAGCAATGTTATTATAAAATGAAAAACGTACTATAGAAATTCTATATCATCTCGGCAAAATTTATATTTTGTAACAAAGTAATTATATATTTAAAGGATAAGGGTGACGAGCCAGCACACAGTCCACCTGATGGTAAGAGGTTTCTGTCGCCCATAGACATCTACATCCTTGTTTGCGAATCAAAAGGCAGATGCGTTGTCAACCGTGAGGACTAAGATAGAATGCCTCTTTTCGAGTAAATAAATAAAAGGTTATATGTAACAAATTACCTGGAACTAAGTAGGGGGAACATTATCTGATGCATATTCTCTGGGAAACTTTCCCAAACTTCTTTCTTACTGCCCGTGGGCGATATGTCGTAAATCTTCAGTATTTCTTGTATTGTCAAAGCATAACAATCCATGTTCTGTAGAAAAAAAAAATATTTTGTTGAAAACATACCATGCACTCGAGATCCTTTCTTAACCATTAGTTCGCGATTCTACGAACTATATGGATGTAATTAGGAAAGTATTTCCAATTAACACATAGAAACATACCATTGTATCTTTCTCGTATTGAAACGCTCTAGAAAGTTCTACTAGAGCAGTAGCAGCAAAACAATTATCGACAATAGAGAAAGCGAAAGGCGATCTGTCGGGCTGGACATATTGACGAGGCAAATGTCCGGCTTCGATGGCACCTAGCTGACCGAGACAAGAACCACTAGCATCACTGACTTTGCTATCAGGATCTTTGCAACCTGCAACGTAAATAACAACAAAATTAGGTTAATACAAAATTAAGAATCAAAAAAGCAATAGTGACAAATTAAAAACTTTCAATCAAAATATATTAACTATAATAACAGAATATTTGTTATTTGTTTCGATAATTGTTCTAAAATCTGATTCAAATTAATACGCCAACTAAATGCATTAAAGTTACAGTCTATAAACGTCCCACGGCTGAGCACAGGCCTCCTCTCATTTCTGAGAAGGTTTTAAGGCAAGGAATTGTCCGCCACGCTGTCCCAATGCGTGTAGGCGAACTTCATATGTCTTTGAAACTATTTTTTTCTTTATATCTCAGACATGCAGGTTTCCTCACGACGTTTTTCTTCACCGCCGAGCACGTGGTAAACAGCACTTAAAATTGCAATTAACAATTTCATTGGTGCCGGCGGGGATTGAACGCGGATTGCTCGCATACTGTGTTTGTAATTTACAGCATGCGCTTAGCCCCTGAACTACCACGGCTCTCACTAAATGCGTAGATGTTGTTTATTGAAAATTGTTAGCTCTGAAAACTTTTACATTCTAAACTTAAGCTCAGAACGAATAAAAAAACGTCACTTATGTGTGCCTTCCATAAAATTGGTACTTTATAAATGTTTGTTGTAATCTCGTAAGAATTATAAACATACTAAAGATTTTTATGAATAAGACTGAACATTTGTGAAAACTATTCAACAAATTACACAAGTATGGAAAAAAAGTAAAATGAGAAAGAAAAAGACAGCAATTTTTATTATGTCCAATATCAATGTTGTAGCCAATCTCGTGTTTTATTTTCCTCTGTCGCCTCTAACAATACCCACGGGATAATATGGGTTAGTGAATTATATTACGCTACTATTTATTTATATATTCTTTCCCACTACACTACTTACTGTCTGAAAAAAAAATTAGTAAATACTAACCAATCAGTAAACAGTCTATTAGCTCCACTATTACAGGATCTATATTTTTGCCACCAAATATAGCTTTGTGAATTTCAGTTCTGTTGTTTTTAAGCAACTTATCCAAGTGAGAAAAAGCAAAAGATTTTATAGTCGGAATTTCATGATTTAAATGCTCCAAATACCATTTGATTTTATCAAGAAACCCCTCAGGTTGTGTCCTATTAACGTGTCTTTTTATAACTATTTTTACTTTTTCGGAAATGTTTGAATCTTCAAGAAAGAAAATATCGGATAAATGACTGCTCAACAAGTTTTCATTTTTCAGCACGAGATAGTGAAATATTTTATTTATTTCTTGCGGAGCGTACTCAAACTGCTGCAATAACGACACAGCCAGATTTGACAACAAAGGCCCAAGAGATATACTATCGATGTTGTGAATGAAGGCACCCCATGCATCCGCTAGTATTTTAGGAAATTCCTTAACCAAAGGTAAAGCAGATCTCAAAGTAGCGAGCACTTTAAACCTTAAGGGAGTAATATACTTTACCCCCATAAGTTGCATCATGTCGGGAAAACTTTTTAAAGCCTTACGCTTCACGGATAATGCAACTTTAGCGTTCACTAGCTTATGATCAAAATATGCAAGAACGCCAAGGAATTTTGGATTCAGGAAATCCGCTATTTGCGATGTACTCATTTTCATATGGCCGCTTGAAGTAGATACGTCTGGATCATGGCAGGCTAAGTACCTACACGCGTTCAGTACTTTCTCTGGGTTACAACTATACTGTAACAGAAACTCTGTTAGAATCACTCTAAAATGTTTCTTAATAAGGCTCAAAATTGAGCATTTGGTCAGTTTTTCTATAACTGAATAGCACTTATCCGCTACTGGGTTAGATTCGTTAAGATAAACGTGAACATAAATCAGAGGAAATCTTTCAACAATAAAATCTGACACTGAACATTGAACTAGCAAAGCAATTTCTTCAATCATTGATGGGACTTCGTTAATAGTAACAGAATAAGGTATCAAATATGGCAGGAAATGATGTACATCCTTGGATATGAAGTCTCTGTAGCCAACAAAACCGAAAGCTCGGACTACTTTCAATAATGATATTGCAAAGTCTTTTCCACTATAAAGGCTGCATTCTACGAAAAGCCGGCAAAAATCTTTCTTATATCTATGATACACTTGATTTGGAGTATAACCATGAAACTCGCATATTTCCCTCAAATAAACAACAGCTTTAGGCGCTAAGCTGCACTGTGGATGCATGATGAAGTATATAAATAATTTTGTTACTGGTAATATTGCTCTCTCGTCACTGTGTAAACCAAATTCTTTTATTAGATTAAGCGTTTGTGTTTGTTGATTATAATTATTGCTTTCTAAACTTGCTTGAGTCTGTTTTACTAGTACATTAATACACTGGAGGAACACCTCTTTAGTTTTTGAATCATCACCGTCTTGTATCTGAAAAAAAAAAGTAATAATTATATAAAATTGTTGTTACTACCGAGCAGTAGTATCTCAAGCTTGGCACTAGCCATCTTAAATTTAATAGTAAGGGGTGAGGAAGCATCTCGAATATAATCTAAGCCTTTGGCAAAAAAAAATTGATTCCATTTTTAAGCACCGATTCACCACATATTTGGCTGTAAAAGAAAACAGCGTGAGGAAATATAATGAATTTGCATGGTATGAAAGTAATAAAAAAATAATTTAAAGCCATGTAAGACTGACCTATAAAATTAAAAATAGCTTCGGGGCTGTAGAGTTTGATATGAATTACACAGTATTAACAATCACCTCATATCAAGGTTTAAAAACTTAAAAAGACAATACTTACACTTGTAGTATTAATAAAAGGCTTAATTGCTTTTAAAACATTCTTAATGTTTTCTTCATTGATAATTTCGGTTGTAATACCATAATCAAACACATAGTAATGATTGCATAGGCATTCAAATAGCATCCAGTATTGAGTTTTTTCTATATCTATATATTGTTTCAAGTTCAAAAACTTTGTAAACAAACTGCGTAAACCGTTAAGTGTAGTTTGTTGTGATGGTGTTATTTCGAAACACTCTCTGCAAATCTCTAAGTACTCTTTTTGTATATTTGCAAAAAAAACTGCAACTCCTCTCTTGTTTTTGTTTTGACAATTGTAACACACAACTGATATATCGAAGGCTTTATTTTTAAATATTGAATGCCTTGTGGATTTTCCTGGCTCCCCAAAAATAACTACAAATGTCCCCAAAGATATACAAACAATAGCTTGAACAACAGAAGTAAGCTTAGATTGAATTTCTGGGTCCTTAGAAAGGAATGCCGGTATTAATATCTCTCCAATAAGCTTGCTTGCGGAGAACAGTTTATTTAAAACTAATAAAGGGCATAAATCAATAATCTGAAACCAAAATAAAAAAAAATAAAACGACTTGCGGTTTGCAGCTCCATGATGAAAATGAATCTTTTCTGCCATAAACCTAAACAATTATACTGTCTTTCGTCTTACTTTTGTCATTTTGATTTCCTTTTGAAGAAATTAAGGTTACAATTTTTTTAATTTTCAATATATTAATGAGGGCTAATTTTCTGCTCACCAGATGTCGCTAGTTCTTTTTTTTTATATAGGATAAGGGTGACAAACGAGCACTCAGTCCACCTGATGGTAAGTGGTTGCTGTGGCCCATAGACATCTACATTTATCCTCAATAAAGAATCGAAATGCAGATGCGTTGTCACCCGTGAGGATTAAGATGGAATGCCTCGTTTCCAGTAAAAAGGGTCTCCGGTTCTCTACACTCACCATACGAAACACAGCAGTGTTAAACTGCTATTTTACGCTGGTATTCTGTGAGAGCGTGGTCCTTCCCCGGTCGAGCCGACCCATTCGTGTTACAACTATACCAGAAATATAAGTTCACACTGAGGTAAAGGTTTTTGTTACACAATGTCATTTATTTGAGAAGTTAGTTTTTAATAAAAGTTTATCAGTTTCTAGAGTATTAGATTATTACACAAAACAATATCTCAGTGGTTTGCTCTTCAATTTTTTACACTTATTAACTTTTTTTTAATATTTCTACTTTTATGAATATCCGTGGTTTGGTTTATTTTTTTTAATCTTAGTAATAGAAAATATAGCTAATATTACAGAAAGAAACATTAAATTTGACATTTGACCAAACTAACTTCCCCACTATGAAATCTGTCAAATATCACTCACTTTTAAGTGGCGCCGCCCTGGTGGTAAAAAATGTAGTAAATGAATTAACATGAGTAATTAAAATATTTACACTAAAGTATGATATTTAAAGAATCGAAAGAAAGATATTGTACTTAGTACATTTCTAAGATGACATAAATTATATTCATATATTTTGATAACACAAGCATATCAACAACAGAACATGAATAACTCAAATTAAAAATTTAAAAAACCCCCGAAAAAACAGCTGACCTTCAAACGGTTGAACCGATTTTAATACAATATGTCAAAGAACAACCGCCAGAAAACCTGCTTTTAAATTAAAAAAACACCGCACCTAAATCGATTCACCCGTTTAAGAGCTATGGTGCCACACACATAGTGGTGAAACTTATAACACATTTTTTGGTCGGGGTTTAAAAACAAAAATTACATATCGTTTAGTATGAGAACCAGGGTAAGCAAACTCAATAATTCACATTTGTTACATACTATCCCATAAGTAAAGACTACTATGATGCTGTGTAGAGGCGGCATAATAATATTCACTACCCCATGTCATCCAGTGGGTGGCGTAAGCGGCGACAGAGAGAAACAAAGTCAGGAAATGGGCAGCAGCATAATAAAAAATTGTGGTTGCCAACCCGATTCCCAAGGATACCACTATGGCAAAACATCACCCCATTAGCCATTTAATGATGAAGATAATGACATGAAACCTGAAAAGATTGGCCAAAATTTTATATTTTTAAAAGACAGTCATAAAAATTTAAATCAACTTGAAATTATCAAAATCGGTTATCAAATGTCTGTAGTTCTAAACATTATGTCTAATAAAAATGAAAAATTAAAGCCAAAAACTGGACTACCCACATATTTTGTTTAAGTTAGTATTATTTTTTGGATAATACTATGAAATTCTTAACACTACCACCAGTCGAAACAGCAAGAATAGACCTTATTATATATATTTATATTTATATATATATATATATATATATATATATATATATATATATATATATATATATATATATATATATATATATATATATATATATTAAGTAAAATTTTGTTTGTTTAAATTATTTATGAAAACAGTTCAAAACTGAGCTCAATGCTGATACAATATAACCTTATGATGCATTAAGGTATGTCCTTTAGTTGCTATAGGTTTTAATGCTGTTAAATAGGTCTTACAATCTATGAACTGAAGAAATGATGAAAACACTACGTGCAAGTGCTGTATTTGCATACTATTTTTTTTTCTCTTTTTTCTGTGCAGTAGTCAAATAGAAAATGGCAATGCAATTTTGTAACTTTTACTTGTTCTACTTTCAATTTCATAGTTGGCTTTATTTTAAAGTTTGACATTTGTTTTTGTTATAGTATGTAAATGTATAAGTATCGATTATAAGCAGACATCTTTAATCTTATTTCAGGTTAAAAGTCCCACCAGCAAAAAAAATCCACTAACGTCACACAATCATAAAACAGCAATAAAAGTGTAATTTTGACAATATTTATTGTAATAGCTAGTTAGAAAAACATACCTACCTACCTCTTTATATGTGTTGGCATTTTTATTTTGTAAGACAGCATTAATAAGAAGCAATGTCATTTTCTCCAAATTTTCATTTTCCTTTCCCTTTAAAATTAATCTTGACATTAGAATATATTGTAAAATCTTAATTTTAATGTGGTCAGTATAACCCATCAAATTATCTAAACTATGTGGGGATGTTTGTAAGCACAAGATTTGCACTACTAAGTTGACATTTAGAGAAGATCTACAGAGGCATAGTGTTAATAACGCAATGTCAAGAAATATAGACATACAATCATGATCCTGAAGTAAGACATGTTGATGTTTCTTAAGTAGCCTTCTTAAAGTTTCCCACATTTGCTGGGATTGGGCAATGTCAAAAAAAGATAAATCTCTGTTATGCTTTCTATATTTCATAGATACTTTTTGCAATATTTTTAATGCAGCATGACATTTCATTAAATTGAAAGAAATTACACAGGCATCTGCATCCAAATCTTCACTCAACTCCAAGCAATGTATTACAGTAAGTACTTGTTTAAAATACCAATTTTCTTTTAAGTTATTATCATCACATTTCTCTCCCACATTTATATGTTGGAATATTTGATTGCAATAACATTCTGCTACCATATCAATTTCACTGGAATTTTTCTTTTCTATTTCCAATATATCTTTAGGAAATTGAACCCTATCACTTAGTGATAAGCAATATAATTTTAGGTCTTTATTGAAGACTGTGTTTAATCTTCTTTTCAAAATAGTATTGCATATAGTCAAAATTAATTCCATGTGTTCATTTTCTAGGTGGTTTGTACAAGTTGTCATAAATTTTAGTAAAATTGTGTTAAATCTTTCAACATCGTCTGTGCTAATATTATATTTATCAACTAACATATCTGTAGATTGCACCATCCATTGTACAGAGCATAATATTTTTTTAAATATAATAGAAAAATTACTTTGAAAATGTATCCCTCCTACACTATTAGTAGTTTTAATTAAATTTATAAAGAAAGACAGTGAACATAATTTCACTTCAATACTATAATTATCTATCACGAACAATACTTCATCAAACAACTTATTTAGGTCACTGAAATGTTTATCTATATGCAATAAATTGGGCGGTATACATTCTGATAATAATTGCAACACAATATCAATCAAAGAAGTGCACATATTAATGTTTTTAACTTTCACACTTATTGGTTCCAAATTTAATTGTACATTTGGAATCTCTATTTGTTCTGGTTCAAAGTTATTTATAGTAAGTTCTAGAGCAGTGGGGTTGCTTGAATTTTCCTTATAATATTTTATTAACTCATATAGAATAGCATAGTACTGTGAAATTAGTTTTTCATAAAATGAAGCTCCATTCACACACAGGATATTTAAAATTTTTACTTGGGCATCTTTACTTGCAATGTGTATTCTGGAAAAAAGATTGTTACATATGTAAAGTTCTTCTTTAAGCACTAATTAAAAATCTTACATGTTTGCATAAATCATTACTATCATTTTTAATTATAGCCCTTGATAAGTCCACTGCTGAACATAGGCCTATCCCAAGTTATGCCACAAAGCATGGTCCTGAGCAAATTTCATCTATCGACTTCGTTTATGGGGATTTACACCCTGCTTACCGGTATGGGGCTGCCATCCAAGAACCTTTTTTCCCCATCAGATAACCGTTTATTGAACTATATGACTGGCCTATTGCCACTTAAGCTTACTGATCCTCTAGGCTATTTCAGTTAACTCCAGTACTGCAGTGGATTCTATAGAGGCTTGTAGATTAAGTAGGTAATTACAAAAGTGGAAAAGAATAAGCAAAAAAGCGGAACTTGGCTCATTAATAACATTATCAATAAGTAAAATTAAAATTGTAGTAGTATGACTGACTCTTTTTCCATCGACTTCAAAAAGGAGATGGTACTCAATTCGACTGTATGTTTTTTTATGTGTGTGTTACCTCATAATGTTTTACTAGGTGAACCGATTTCGATGATTCTTTTTTATTTGAAAGCTGGTGCTTCTCAAGTGGTCCCATATAAATTTGATCAAGGTCTGACCAATAGTTTTTCAGTTATTCTTAATAATTTATATTGAATTCGATTGTACATAATTTTTAATTTTTAATTATGTGCTTTTAGGAGTCAGTATCAATATGTACCACACTCTTACATAATTATTTCTAAAGGGAAGAGTCAGCAAAATAAAGGACTATCAGACATTTCATCTCTTTCAGAAGGAACAATGCATTGCAAACAATTTCTTGTTTTTGGTTGTTATTTGGCTGTTTAAAGGGCAATGTCCACTTAGCCTCAAGTGAACAGCAAGTAATTTGACAATGTAAAATTTTATAAAATTAGATGGTCAGTAGAAACCATACTTATTCAACTTACTTGTTTAACTCCTTTACTGAACATATGTAAAATAATCTGCCTAACAGCCATGCATTAAAGGCACAGTAATAAGAATCTGGACATTTTGTAGAACCTGGTCGTGGAACTAAGACTTCTGAAGAGTCTCTAAAAGAAATTTGTTTTATGTTATTTAATATATGAGTTTAATATCATATATCATAATCATCAAAAATGTACAAAAAGTCTTAATCTAAGTTAATTCAATAAATTTTTATATATTCAAAATATAAATAGGACAGCTTCCTATTTATATTTTGAACATAAGCATTCCTAAAGATTTTTGTTTTTAAAGGATTTTAAGTTCCCAGTAAAGCAAAATAATTTTCATAAACACTCAAATCCTGGATAGAGCAATATCACTGTTGGAAATGTGAAACAACAGTAGACTTAAGAAAGCTATTAATGAATAGTAGCAGAACTTCTCCAGGAAATAAAGCAAGAAAAAGCAAACTTGAGTAAACATAATAAAACTGTAATACACTCTTACTGACAAGTGCTTCAAGGAGCTTGGGTGGCTGAAATAACATTAGTTCTTGCCCACACACAAAATATGCACTTAGGAGTTATGGAAACAAACCCATATAACACTAACAATAACACTTACAAGTAATTGAGTATCCTTGGATTTTTTACTCTGCTTACCACACTAGCTCTAGCTCCAGCCATAGTAGCTCACTAGTTAAGCACTTGTTATAAATACACAACTTGTGGGCAGCTTAGGTTACATTACATGCCGAACGGTCAAAGAAAACATTATGAAAAAAAATAATTCAATTAATCTGTGTGGCGGACTATTTGTTCCATAAATCTCTCAGAAATTAGAGTCACAGCTTTGGGAAATATAAATTGTTCTTTTATTACAGTATACTTGCAAGGAAGCTGTTTAAAATCAATCCATATACAATATATATAAGGATCAATAATTATAATATATGCAATTTATTTTTACGTTATAATATAACTTACCCTGAAAGTTTCAATATTGATGTCAATAGTCTATCAAGTCCATCTGCTGCGTGTTCCAAGTTACTGAACAGTACCATTGTAGGTGCATTAAACATTTGCCAAACGGTAAATGGCCCATCATAATTTTCCTCATCCATATTTTTATTTATTTACTATTATCTTGCCTGCCCAAAGAATATTGAGTATACTTACAAAACAGTATTAACAACTAACTATATATAACTGTCTATTTCATTCTCATTCTACGCATCTAATTTAGATATTTATTTTATTAATTATCTAATATATGTACATATTACTTTTTAATTGTTTATATTAGTTCCAGTAGAAACTTTTTTCTTTTGGAGAATAGTACTAAGATAAAAGAGTAAATAAATCACTAGAACCAATAGTTTACTCCCTAACGAATAACGAGAGACTAGAGTATAAAGTAACAGTAACAGCCAAAAAGTCAACAACAGAATGGTAATCTGATGGTAATGGTAAATGGTAATGGAAAGAAGAAGAACAGGAAGGAAAGGAATAGTGATTATTACTGATTAGTGACAGATGACGGCTGTCAACTGAAATACGAAATTCGCGCCAGATTTAGTTTGATGATAGGTTTTTTTTTTGTTTATGGCCTGGTATCTACACCTTTAGGCCAAGTCTTAAGTATTTTTATTCGGTTTATTGTAATTTCCCCACTCCTTCATAGTATACTGCTTCACAATATGTTGATGCGTCACATTGTGCAGTTCTTGGGAGATTTTGGCGGCAACTTGATCCAGCAGACAGCTGATAGTTGGCGATGGTATCTAAAGGTGCCTATGCAAACAAACAGCTTATCTTGAGAATCCATCACCATCAGAGCACTTGTTTCACTGTTTCCACTAATAGTTCACATGCGTAGACACTTAATACACAAAATCGCAACACTTTTACATATCAAAGTCCACTTCAAACCATTATTTAAACAATAATACAGGAGCAGCAAACCGCCGCCGGTCAATTTCCAGCCAAAACCAGTTTGATGATAGGGATTCTGCTCAGTGATGCCAAGTTAGGCGATTTTCCGTCTTTTAGGCTACCTTAAAGGGTGTCGGGGCGACCGAAAATTTCGATTGGCGACTGGTCGTAATTTAGGCTACTTCGGAAAAACACAAGGGCGATGTTTGGCTATATAATTCCCTCTCTTATTAAGTAAGTCTATTAGCATAAATAATAAAAGAAACGTGTAATGAAACATATGTTTTTGACACAGAGAAATATCAAAGAAGACTAGATTTTAAGGTATCAATGACCTAAGAAAAAAGGGTCTTTCTTATATATATTTATATGTATATAATCTTGTAATCTCTTTAATTGTAATTTAAATATTTCGCTTCAATTTTGTGAAATATTAACACATTAAACGCCATGCTAATTATAACCAAAATTCATTTATTTTGTCCTGGTGCACTTTGATGTATTATTAGGAGACATGAATATCCATATATACTAGACCGCTGTAAAAGGTATAGTTTAGAAAAAAACCTATAAAACCTCATGAGGTCACGGGTGTCCTACGCGGCGCCATGATATAACAAAGAGCGTTTCCGTTACCGAGACGCCGCGTTGGTCACGCTTCCGGCCACCCGCCCCCGCACTCATCTCGTCGGAACTTTACGAAAATTACGAAAAGGGTTACCAAAAGAAGTAATCGAATCAAAACTACAGCCAGGCGAGTCTATTGCCAGGCAAAACGAGCGAGTTATTTGTGTCCTAAAATGGAAGTCCAAAAGGGATGTGTTAATGCTCTCTACAAAGCACTTAAAGGGATTCACCACCGTCGTGAAAAAAGGAAGAGTGATTCGCAAACCAAAAATGATTGTTGCCTACAACAAAGCAAAAGGCTCAGTAGACATAAGTGACCAAATGACTCGTCGCCATTGCGAAAAACAGTAAAATGGTACAAAAAATTAGCTATAGAGCTTGTTCTGAATACTGCTCTTGTAAATTCATGGGTGATGTATTGTGAAAACAAAAAAACAGATATAGAGTTAGTCCAATTCAGAAGGCAATTGGTAGACTACTTGACTCAGACAGAAAGTGGACCTGAAGCAAGCAATGAGCAACCAAGAAGAGTTAAACATAAGCTTCAAACCAAAGAAGCTACTGTGAGAAGTACAAGGCGTTTTTGTGCCCAATGTTATAAAACTAATGTTGGTACTTATGGATCCAAGGCCGCCAAAAACAAAACTAAAAAAGTCTCTACATTTTGCAGCGAATGCGATAACGAACCGCATTTATGTTTGCCTTGTTTTAATAGAATTCATAAAATATAAAGGATTAGTTTGAAACGTTTTTCTACTTTGTAAGTCCTTACATCATTGCAAATTTTGTTATTTGACTACCTTAAGTTTTGTAATAAATATAACCTTGTTTTTCCATAGGATGCTATGTTTCTTTTCATAGACAAATGTATTAAGATAAATATTCAGAGTATACATAAAGTAGCTTCAGTCAAAATCTAAGCCGGCTTCAGTGAAAAAAGCACAATACAGGTCTAACGTGGGAATGTATGGGTAAATGTACCTAACTTGGTGTCTCCGATGTTTGCCTGAAAGTCGCGAACAGCTTAACTGATTTCGATGTAGCTTGGACCATTAGTTAAAACATTTAGTCGGAATATTCCATATTTAATTTTATTGAAATATATTTCATCGACTTTTTTCTGACAATATTTTTCGAAGTCGCTGTGTGAAGCCGGGGTGGGTCGCTAGTCAACCCATAAATTAACGTTATGGAATGCTACATAATATTTATGAGGTTTAAAAGCCAAAAAACGTATTTTTAAAAGTAAATTAATGCTTCAAAAAATGTTTTAATAATGTTGGCAAGTAGAACCGCGGACGGCAATAAGGTTTTCCTTATAACTTGAAAAAAAAATTAGCTACACAAGAACCATTCAGCAAAAGTGTTCTACAGCGCCACTCCGGCCACATGCTTGCTATAAATCAATGAAATCTAAGTGCTTAACGGTAGAAATAAGGTTCAAAGTCAGATATGCCTCGAGGTCACCGGTGACCTACGTGGCGTCTAGACACGGGGCAGGGTCCGGTCACCGGTGACCTACATGGCGTTTAATGTGTTAATACATAAAAAAAATAAAACACATATTTTATATGTTGATATTTTCTTTCACGTTTACGATAAACTGCTTCAAATTTTATCTTGTTAAAATTATAAATAAGGTTGATTAAGGTAGGTCTACGTTTAAAAATAGCCTTTATACTACCTGAAAATTCAGCAAGCGATCTTAGGCCACATTACAGAGAAAACAAATTAGGCGAATTTAGGCTACTTGACGACAAATTTTTGGCGACTCCGACTGGTCTAGACTTGGCAACACTGATTCTGCTGTCAGAGTGTAGACACTCGTGTTTCAGCAATTTTCGGATATATTTTTGGGGTGAGTTTCGTTAATATCTTTGCCGTCTTCTGTGTATTCTTATAAAAATTTGTGTGGTGTTGTTCATTACTTATTGGTTGGTACTTGTAAGTAGCGATAGTTAACTAATTTATGTATTCTTAACTAACACGATGGACGTCGACGGGGTGGATTCGGAACCACCGGATAAAGACAATCCATCTGGTTTCCGTCCCTCTAAAGGAAAATGTACGGGTATAACACCAAGCATTCATAAAACAAAGTTGGTCATGAAGATACGCCTTCAGCATCATATCAAAATATTTATACCAAATTTACACCCACCCTGATTTTCTAGAAAAGAAAAAAAAGGGCCTTTTACAATTCACCTTAAGCGTATAGAACCCGATCCTTCATCTGGTTATACAATCCGACCTGTCAAGATCGGCCATAGCCTATTCCAAAATATGGTTTCCAATATTGAATAACAAAGCATAACGAATTTAGGTCGTAACAGGGTCTCAATAGCTTTTAAAACTGCTACAGATGCCAATATCTTTATCGAATCATCCTTTCTTGCTAAATACAAACTATCAGCAGAGCAGCCATTCCAACCTTCAATGTTATCAGAATGGGTGTTGTTAGAGGTATACCAACCGATATTTCCATGGATGACTTGGTGTGTGATTCGGAACTACCCCCTGGTAGAGGAGACATTATAAAGGCTAGGAGATTACACCGAAAAGTAAAGAAAGGCGATGATATTGAGTGGTTGGCCACCCAAACCATTGTCCTTACATTTTCAGGCCAATAGCTTCCTTCTCACTTATACTGCTTTTACACCTCAATTCCTGTCGAAACCTACATACTCCCTTCCATACAGTGACTGAAGTGTTGTCGCTTTGGACATATAAAGGCTCAGTGCAGATCAAAGCCACGCTGTTTCAAATGCTCAAAAGAGCACACTGGAGATAATTGTGTTACCGATATCTCCACATGTCTGTTCTGCTCTGCTAATCACTTGGCAACTGATAAAAGCTGCCCTGAACATACAAGACAAAAAGGCATTATGGTCATGTCCCAAGAAATTGTTTCATATCTAGAGGCATCTGCTCGATTCCCTACAGTTAGAAGACCTTACCTGATGTAGCTGCATCTTTAGGGATTCCTTGCCTACCCACTTCATCATAATAGTTATCAAGTATTCACTCTGCTCCTCCTGCTTCTCAATCTTATAGAAAGACTGTTTACAGAATTAACCCAACTAGACCTGTTCCAAATTCTGTAGCCTATGATATGGTAGCACACAACAATATTGTAATAACCCCTACTTCTTCCCTTCCAAATGGTCATGTTCTTCAAGCTAATTTATCCCCTAATGATAATCTCCTGGAAAACCTTGTGTCCTCCATCTCTGATATAATTGGCAAATTTGACGACATACACTTACCGTTTAACGTGAGAAATAACCTTGACATGCTCTTCCATAAAATCTATAAAATTCAATCGCCTCCACATCCTCCAGTGGAATTGCCGGAGCATCAAGAACAAGAAATCTGAACTAACTAATTTGATAAATACTCATAACCCCTCAGTCATTGCTATTTCGGAAACCTGGCTAAGACCTGGTTTTAGATTCAGAATCCCTGGTTTTTCGTGCTTCCGTGACGACCGCAGCGATAGCTACGGCAGCACTATAATTCTTCTAAATAGAAATTTTACCTCTTGCTCAATTCCCCTTCCACC